TGCTTCCTTCCGAAGGGTATCTTCCATGCAAGAGCTTCCTTATCTCCCGAAAGTGCTTCCTTCCGAAGGGTATCTTGCATGGTATCTTCCATGCAAGAGCTTCATTCCGAAGTTACATGTACCGTTTCCGAAAGAGCTTCCTTCCGAAGTTACATGTACCGTTTCCGAAAGAGCTTCCTTCCGAAGTTACCTGTACCGTTCAGTGACCGTTTGGAGTACCTGTACCGTTTCAGTGACCGTTTGGAGGATTAATTCAGATGTTATAAGACTGGTTTTATATCAGTTTTTAATGTCATGTTTAATGCTATTGAATTCCTCAATTCCTATATAATATAAGTTCTTGGTTGAGCAGGTGGTTTTTACACAAAACAGCAATCAAAATTTTTTCTTTCGAAACTCTGCTCCTCCTCCTTTCTTATCCTCCTGTGTTCATCCCACACTCTAGTTCACCAGATTCCATTGTTTGAGTGCTCAAACTTGAAATCGTAGTACGTTGTATCCTGGGAAACCTAGGCCGTAATGCTTCTAGCATCTTTAAAAATGGTAAATAAGGTTTTAAGGAAAGAGTGTTTCGTTCGACTCATACTAACCATTTACCTAGAAAATTCCTTTTGTTCTTGTGTTTGTTATCTTTTTCAGAAATATTATTTTCGTAATTGTATTTCGTAACAACAACAGCCTAGCGGAAAAATGCAAGAAATGCATAAGCTGAACCTGGTCCGGTTCAATTTACACTTTAAATGTAAACTTTCGGCAACTATTTTTTTTTTTTTTTTTTTTTTTTTAACTTCAAAATTTGAAATTTGGATTGATATGCCAGTTTGCTTATGGACAATGGATAAGGTTTAAGAATAATGAACATCGTACAGTAAGAAAACAAGAATTGTGATGTAACCACATCATTAGAAAGCAAATAAGTTGTATTGAATTAAGAGTAAATACCCAAAATGATCCCTCAACTATAGCTAAATTTATAAATTGGTCTTCGACTTTCAATTTCAACCAATTAAGTCCTTAACTTTGCAATTTTGACACGATTTGGTCCTCCATCTATTTGACTGTTAGTTGAATGTGATCGACGATCTCCAGAAGAACCTTCAGCTCTTGTCGGAGCACATGGAGGCCTCCAGGATGACGTTGCACCGGTTCGGAAACACGTCGTCTTCTTCGCTCTGGTATGAACTCAACTACATTGAATCCAAAGGGAGGATGAAGAAAGGCGACCGGATTTGGTAGATTGCTTTCGGCAGGGATTCGAATGTAACAGTACGGTCTGGAAATACAACCGGAACCTTAAAAAACCGACGATGGACCATGAAATTACATATATATCCTCAAAAATCACAGTCAACAAACGGTCAAATAGACAGAGGATCAAATTGTGTTAAAATTACAAAGTTAAGGACTTAATTGGTTGAAATTGAAAGTCAAGGACCAATTTGTGAATTTAGTTATAGTTGAGGGACCATTTTGGGTATTTACTTTTGAATTAATAAGGAATAAAATTGTCAATGATCTTATGGTCTAGTGACACTAAGTTGTTCGTGGAGGCAAATTTTTATGAAGAATAATTTTAAATGAAATATATTATTCCGTTCCCTGTTGCATATCTCCAAAAAATTTGTAGTATTGGGATAAGTAAAGTTAAAAATTGGGGAGAAAAAGGCATACAGCTAAGGGTTCATTGAATGAATGAATAGGCATATATGAATGTGTTTCTAAGGGGAAAGAATTCCTTGATTCAACATTCCCTTTCCACTATTCCTAGGTCTCCGTTGTTATTTACGTATAATCCAAGTATGTTGTGTCTCCACAAGACTTGCAAAAGTTAATCTTAGTTTTGGGTGGGAAGTAACCAAATGTTTGACTCCTAAAATATACAAAATGTGTATTCTTTTTCTTGAAAGAAAATGTTTCTGAAATGTAAAAATACTTTGATTTATGAGAAAATCTGCAATCATGGCTTTTGGTGAAGCACACTTTGTAACCTTAGCCTAGTAAAGGACTATAAAGAAGAAGGAGCAAATTTACATACCCTTGAGTTTCTCGGTGGGCACCAATGGCTGCTCCACCCAGCTCCTAGATTGCTTTCAATGCACTTTTTATGGATAGTTATGCTGTGGGCTCGTGCCCAGCGTGCTTCATGGGCACGGGTCAGGCACCGTTATCTTCTTTTTTTTTTTTTTTTTTAAAATTTAATTTCAGACCGCTTCGTTATAGGAGCATATATTCACAGCTTTGTGTTCATAATTTCATAACTGTACATTCATAATTCCATAACTGTACATTCATAATTTCGTAACTGTACATTCATAATTCAATAACTGTAAATTCATAATTTTCGAAGCTCTATGTTCATAATTGTAAGTTCATAATGTCAGAGTTCTATGTTCATAATTTCATAACTGTACATTCATAATTTCATAACTGTACATTCATAATTCCATAACTGTACATTCATAATTCCATACTGTATATTCATAATTCCATACCGAACATTCATAATTTTCGAAGCTCTATGTTCATAATTGTAAGTTCATAATTCCATAACTATACATTCATAATTCTATAACTGTACATTCATAATGTCATAACTGTATATTCATAATTTCATAACGAATATGCCGTTAACGCCGTTAACGGCGTTTCGAACAAATTTTTTTTTTTTTTTTTATAGTTAAAACAGCGTCGTTTTCACGGAAAACGACGCCGTTTTAGCGTCGTGCGCACCTTGCAAGGTGCGCACGTGCGCATAGCATAATTTGCCACTTTTTATTTTTTATTTTCAATTTGATAGAATGGGTTAGAGATGTCAAACATACAAATTAGCCTGAAGTCCAGTCCAGTCTCGTCCCATTTGGATCGGCCCAACTTGGTCCAATTGTTACAAACTTAAAATGGGCTGGTTAGGCAATAGTTATGCTGTGGAAACGTGTTCACCATGCGTATGGTAAACACATGGGTAGATCCATAATTTCTATATATATATATATATATATATATATATATATATATTATTTTTTTTTTTTTGAAAACGTAGATTCATAATTTTGTTTTTCATTTGTTGTTAACAGGATAGATCCATAATTTCTATGCTGTAGATTCATAATTTCTATACTGTAGATTCATAACATCTATACTATAGAATCATAATTTATATATTATAGATTCATAATTTCTGTACTGTAGATTCATAATTTCTGTACTGTAGATTCATAATTTCTATAATGTAGATTCATAATTTCTATACTGTAGATTAATAATTTCTGTACTATAGATTCATAATATCTGTAACAACAAATGAAAAACAAAATTATGAATCTACGTTTTAAAAAAAAAAATTATGAATCTACAGTATAGAAATTATGGATCTATTCCTGTGTTCACCATGCGCATGGTGAACACGTTTCCACAGCATAATTTGCGTTGGTTAGGGCTAGTCAGTTTTATACTATAGACATGATCATACTTTAATTTTTTGCCCATGGATTGAGTCGGTTTGGTCCAGCATTTTGTTGAAAGAAATTATACTTTAACTATTAATGTAGTTTACTAAAAAGTTTTTAATAATTTATAATTTTAAATACTTTGTGTAAATTTTTAATAAAATTTATTATTTTAACTAATTACCGTCTTAACTATCAATTCTTATTTTAATTGAAAATATCTATATTTCTAAATTTTTTCCTATCAAATCAACATAATTATTAAATAGCAAAACTATATAAATGAATAAAGCTCATGCATCCTTTTTATATATGAAATTTAACAACATTAATAATTTTTTTATAACATAATTTAAATATATTAATTTAAATATTTCAAGTATTTAATTTGTGCATCGTACGAGTATCATACTAGTCTCCCATAAAAAACTTCGGTTTTGGCAGATTGTCAAGTAGCTAACTTTGAACACTTCAAAATCTTGATTTTTTTTTTTATCTCTCACAAAAAAAAACATTATTTCTTCCTAAAATTTCTACCAACACTTCATAAAATTTTTTGTAGTGTTCTAACTAGTTCGCCGAGCTTATTTGTTTGAGTGCTCAAACTTTAAGTGGAAGTTTGGTTTTTCTTGAAAATCTAGGCTACGACGCTCTTAGCATCAAAGGAAGGTAGTAGTTAAGGTTTTTAAAGATAATGTGAATATCACACGTCTCAAACTTACAAACTCGAACCCTTTCGTTTCTTTGTGCTTGTATTTTTTTAAAAAAATTATATTTTCATAGTATTATTTTTCAATTACAAGCTTAAAACCTTATTTCCTCTTTTTCTTCCATGGAAATGACATCCCCCCTATTACTTATCAATACCAATGGGATGATAACAACAATGGTCGAAGCAGCAACAAAGTTGCACGTTTCAAAACACTAGTGAACCTCGGTTCGGGGTGGGAACATCCAAGGATATATTTCCATGATGCACACACGTGTCGATACCAAGTGGATCAACTGAAAGGCACGTGAGATCCAATGACATTGCATTCACCAAGTTATCAATTCATAGTGGTAGTGTCAACAACTATTCATTAAGAAATCGTAATCAAAAGAAAGACAAGAGCAAACTTAGTCTTGAAATTGATTATGAGGAAGTTGACAATAATTTTGAGATGGTGAGTAGCCACAAGGTAGCAAAATTTAATTTTGTTGAGAAGGTTGAAGATAATTTTGCAACGGTAAAAGAAAATAGTTGGTTGGAGTATTGGACAAGAGAGATCCCAACTCATTTTCTTTGACAAGGGTATCCGATGAGCGGATAGATATTACTGAAAATAGGCTAGGCTGGTAGGCCCCTTCATAGGGACCTATGACCTGACCTGACCTGTTTAGTAAAAGGTCAGGTTTAAGCCTATTTTAAAACCTATTAAATTAAATAGGCCAAGCCTAGCTTACGAGCTGGTCTGTTTATATATATATATATATATATATATATATATATATATATATATATATATATATGATTTATATTTAATATTAAATTATTAGATATTACTCGGTACATTTTATAAACGAGCCAATGGCAAGCCAGATTGGACCGACCTAAGCCCGTCCGTTTGACATCTCTAGAATGGGTAAACATCATACAACAATAGTACTGCTATACCAGAGGTAAACAGGATGGATTGCTACTTAGTGGACCTTGAAAATTCTTAACAACATCAACAAACATGGTATCAGCTTTACATGAATTCAGATGTTTCCTTGCTTGCCCTTTTACCAGGTTACACATTGCATCTTCTTCTCAATTTTGGTGTGTTCTTGGTATATGCAGTGCTGTACACAATCTACCTAAATAACTTGCTTCATCGACCTCCCCCGTGATTCTAGTGTACATTAGAACAGGTTAAGTTCCTTTTCAACTCATGTTTGCGCTTGCCTCGGCCACCATTTTCTGCTGTCGAGCAAGGAGTGACTCGTAATCCTGCAAGATACAAGGACAATATTTATGCTGTGGATGCCTAATTGCGTATTTGAACGAAATTGAACTGGCCAATGGCCTTCTGGTCTAGTGGCATCAAGTTGCTCTCCCATATGGGAGGTTGTGGATTCGAGCCTCAATGAAGGCAGTATTGACTCTTTGTGCTTCAGTAGGGGACCTTGTGGTCTAGTGGCATCAAATTGCTCTCTCATATAGGAGGTTGTGGGTTCGAACCTCAGTGGAGGCAGTATTAACTCTTTGTGCTTCAGTAGGGGACCTTGTGGTCTAGTGGCATCAAATTGCTCTCTCATATAGGAGGTTGTGGGTTCGAGCCTTAGTGGAGGCTGAAGCAGGTTGAGAAAGTAGTTATGAATAGAGCCTTAGTGGAGGCTGAAGCAGGTTGAGAAAGTAGTTATGAACAGATACTACATTGTAACAACTGAGAAGTTACCTTTGCAATTGCCTGTGCACAAAGCTTCCCGGATAGAACAGCGCCTTCCATTGAAGCCAAGTACTTCTGTTTCGTGTAGTCGCCCGCTAAATAGAATCCCTCTATGGGGGATTTTTGCAAGGGGCGACACGGCTCACATCCTGGCACAGTTTTGTACACGGACCTAAAGAACAAGAAATCTACATCGGTCAAGTTTCACAAGGTATGGTTAAACATAGTAAGAAGTACAAGGAGAGGGAACAGGTTGGCTTGCGTTCTAACCTTGGAGTTTTGACAACATGGTACTTCACTATTTTTGCTTTGCTCTGGTCAGCTGAAATTTCGTCGGGAAACAATTTGGCTAGCTCCTTCATCGTAGCTTCAATAATTTCTGAGTCGCTTCGTGACACCCATTCTTCTGCAGGAGCGAACACCAACTCCAACATAGACTGATTGGGGTTGTAATATTCCTGCTCGAAAAAAAAAATCGGGTGAGATCACTAGTCATATTGAGTAGAGTAGGCGCACAACGCCAAAATCATTGACAGATTGGCCCGAGTTGCGGATATGTACTGTATTCACGAGGGTTTACATCATAAAAGTATATCCAACTACTCTAAAATAAACCGTTTATTAATACCTTGCATGTTACTGACATGTCAGCATACACACTCAGAAGTGAGCTTCTGCAAGAAAATGAATGAAATATTAACAAGAAAATCCATATATGTCTACAAATAGATCGAACAATGGCAATTACAAAAAGAATTGGAGAGAGGTAAAATGTGCTAAGTGGTAAAAATAAAATAAAAAATGAAGCAAACAGACCTGCTAAAGAGGAGATGATCATATGTGTTCTTCAGTTTTCTGTCAAACCTGCAATTTGATTAGTGTATCCACTATTAAGTTAGTCATTTCTCACATAAGACATTAAGACATATTTCGGTGTATGGAAAAAGTATTCTAAGAACTATGAGATAAGATAACAATCTTCTTTTTCCTTTTCTTTGTTAGCAAATATGCTTAGTATGGTGGCACATTCTTAATAGTAAGTTATAATATATTCAAGAAATGGGGCAACCCAAGCCAAGTTGGTCGGCAAGGTTCCAAGTCCGACTCCCGGTGGGAGTGGCCTATTGGCCTTCTTGGTTTGGGCAGGTCAGCTATGGGCAACCTAAGCTGGTTTACCTCCTGTTGTCCTTTGCCGGCTAGAGTCACAAGACAGGGTTTACCCAGTGCACACCCTCGAGTAGTGGTTGTGGGTTTCTTTCTCTCGTCATCCAAATATATAAGAAAAATTTTAACAGTTTCCAACTAACCATATATGAACATTTATTACGGGAACTCCAACTAATTTCTCCAGCTTTTTGAAATATGGGATCTCTTTCCAGTCCTCGGGCAAAAGAAGCTTCAGGATATCAACTAGTTTGATTGTGAGAAAATGAGAAATTAGTTACTGTAAAAAAGTTGGGCATAAAATATTGGAAAATTGAATGATTCATTATAGTTACCAGGCGTAGCGAACACAAAAGCATCTCCTTGAATAACAGTTCCATTACTTAGAAGAAAACTCTTGACACTTCCATCTTCATTCCGCTCGATTTTATTTATACGCGAGTTAAGTTGGACTTTACCGCCTCGTGACTTGATATGTTCAACAATCGGCAAGCAAAGCCTTTCTGGCGGATTTCCGTCTAAAAATGCCATTTTTGAACCATGTTTCTCCTGTTGATTAAAATCTAAACAGTTAATAGAAGCTTGAGTTTTGTAAAGAACGTGTGTCGTGTAGCATCTCATTCCTAAATTTCTATAGTGGCATGCATAGGATAACAACTTAGTCATGAATATCAGCTCTCCTTGTTTGATCCCTCCCAGTTATTGTCTTGAGACTTTTTTTTTTTTTTTTTTTTTTTTTTTTTTTTTTTTTTTTTTTTTATGCATTAGGTTTCTTAGCTTACGCTAGACTAATCCTAAGCCCCCAGAACCCCTGCCCCCAAAAGCCACGACTCGCCCCGTCAGTCCCTAGGTTCCCACCCTGTCAGGCCCTGTTTGGTAAAATAGTTAGCTTATCAGCCAATTTTGGCTTATTTTAACCACTATTAATTGTTTGAATTGGTTTAAAAATCAATATAAATGTCTGGTTAATTAGCTTTTTGTAACTCCAAAATGCTAAAATTCAAAAAGCTGCTCAAAGAAACTTTTTCAATTAGCTTTTTGAGAAGAGAAATTATACCAAACAACTATCAACTAACAACTAATTTACTAAACATTTTTCTACAATCAGCTACTGTTATCAACAAGTTATACCCTCTAATTAACCCAATCAGCTAACAGCTAACAGCCATTTACCAAACAGCGCCAAGATCTCCCAATGACCCTCAGGTTCCCAGTGGAATTTAAACCTTACCCCCACACTACTGCTGGAGCAAGGCTTTAGGGTGATTGGTCGAATCAACTGAGCTATGCGTGTGTATTGTGGGGTGGGGGGATTCCAACTGACCTGAAGAAATCTGTTCAAAGCAATCAATATGCACTGCATCGAAAGTTCATCCGGATTAATGAAATTCAGAGCCTTTGACATGGCAATGAACACCTCATTGGTCACCCTGTCAGGTATGCCCTGAAAGAGGAGGACAATTAGCTGCTTGTAAAGGTCTTCCCGTGCCCCTCCATATTAGCTGGCTATAACGTTAGACAAGAATACGAAAAACATGAAAATACTTGAATTTTACGTACCTGCTTTCTCATCCAGTCCTTAACGGATATCCCATCTTGAGCTTCAACATAAGACTGCCCACCAAGCATTGCTGGCAACAGACCAATAGCAAACTTCACTTTCTCCGGCCACGTAAGCATTTCGTTATTCCTTAGGATGGCCCACACCCCTGCAAGTAACATATAAATAAAACACGGGAATGGCATAATTTATTATTAGTAGGAACGTGACACAATTCTACATTTTCAACACCTCGGGATTCACAGTTTTAACAAAGACCTCACCGTTAAATGGAGATGGTAAAACTTCAGGGAAATCAAATCGGCTGAACTCTCCTGGTTTGTTTGGCATCGCAAATATCATAGAATGTTCCTTCCACTGCAAGCGATCATTGATGCCTAGCTCTCCAAACAGGTTCTGCATATTCGGGTATGCCCCAACTTAAAACAGATAGAGTCATTTGAATGTTTATAGGTTCCTTGTATATGTCAAAAAGATGTGTGTGTTGGGTCCAGGGAGGCGTAAGAAAAGTGTTTAATGGAGAAAAATATTCGAAACTAATTGAACCAAGTTCATCAAAGCAGCAATACATACAATGCTAGAATCAATATGAACAATATGAGCATTTAAACTTACAGAATATGTGTAAGCCAGTCTCATACCAGTCTCCGTCGTCATCTTTCCATGCAGCTACCTAGAAAACCAAAGATAGTTAATACTCCATACTATTACGATGACATCTAACATTCCAAGTAGACATTGGCCCTGTTTGGTAAAATAGTTAGCCTATAGGCCAATTTTGGCTTATTTGACCACTGTTAGCTTTTTGATTTGGTTAAAAAATCAATATAAGTGTTTGGTTAATTAGCTTTTTGTAACTCCAAAATGCTAAAATTCAAAAAGCTGCTCAAAGCAACTTTTTCAATTAGCTTTTTGAGAAAGGAAATTATACCAAACAACTCCCAGCTAACAGCTAATTTACCAAATACCTTTCTACAATCAGCTAATGTTATCAACTAGTTATACGCTATAATTAACTCAATCAGCTAACAACCATTTACCAAACAGGGCCATTATTTCACAACGTATGCATTTAGGTTTAGCTCTAGTGATTCATGCAATGATGATTTAAGTATAATAGTTCATGAGAAAGAAGACGAGCATAAAGGGTGAGAATTACCATTTTGTTAGTTTATTTACAAATGTGCAATTTTTTTGATATACTCTAGGCGGCTCTTGTAATTCCTAGATATCTCGTGATCGTGTATATGTAAGTGATCTCTTGTAACTGTAATAAAAGGGAGACATAGCCTAATTCTTCTCTTTCAAGTATTGTTTATCACCCATCGAGGTTGATTGGTGAGATAGAAGAAGAGAAGCAATAGCGTGATAGAGAGTCTCACCAACCTTTCCTCCCAGCACATCTCGTGCCTCCAGCAGTATTGGCTTGTGGCCCGCATCTGCTAAATATTTTGCAGTAGACAACCCAGCCAAACCTGCAAGCACCAAAATACAAAAACGATTTTCTTTGAATTCCTTTTTCTCCTTTCAAATTCCGGTTATAAGATAGTTGTAAGATAGTAGAATGAAAGGAGCTTTCTACATTTCTTAGAGCATAGTGAGCGGTTGTTTCAACGTAAAACTGATGTGGAAAAATCCCCCTAAACGTTATAAGTAGCAGAGGAATAACATTTCTTCAAAAACGCCAATAAGAAAATATAATTGAGACAGACTATAAAAATTTACCGGCACCAGCAATAACAACTTCCAATGGTTTACTTGGACGTGGAGCAGAACGAAATGAAGAGGACAGGTAAGCAGCTTCGATATAGTTAACAGTATTCTCAAGTTCTGGCCTCGGATAGTCCATGCAAACTACCTATATTATAAGATTAACAAAACCTATTTAGAATTTTGTGGATTCAATATAAGTATGTAATATCCTATATATACAATCCAAAACAGACCTTCAAAGGGCGGTACCCCCTCCCTAATTTGGGCATAACACCATTGCTAGTAGGAATCCTCAATTTAGAGCCCATTGAGTAGCTCGCTCCAAATGATAGCGCATTTACTTCTGCTGAACCAACACGACAACCAACTCTAGAGGAAGACGCCAAGCTAACAGCAGAAACATGTCCAATGTGGGACATTTTGCCAAATCCTATACTAAAAACGCGATCACTTTGGGAAACTATAATTCTTCAAGAGTATCAATTCAACATTGCTCACACACCACTAATCCTGCCATGAAACCGTAACATAAAAATGGACTTCAATTAGAATCTTTAAACGAAGAAATTTGCTCAAACATAAACCGAAAAGCTACATCATGCTGTGAGCATATATCCATTAATGTGTATCCAACTATTAGCTTAGGCTGTTAGTTGAGATGGAGCACATGCTTCAATTTGGTATCAGAGCCAGACCAAAGGTCATGGGTCCACGTGTTGGTTGGAATCCACCGTACACGGGGCATGTGAGCATATATCCAATATCCATTAAGTTGTATCCAACTATCAGCTTAGGCTTTTAGTTGATATGGAGCACATGCTTCAATTCATGCTTACATCCACAAACTCCTTATCATACAACCTAGACAACTAAATTCCTATGTTTCAACTTGTAACAAGAACTAATGTATTAAGCATAAAAACGGATTCTTTACAGATAAATAATCTGGAATTAGCTTACTAAATCCACAACATCACCCTAAAACTCTTAAAAGTAAAGGGAAAAACCACAACCTGCAGAGATAAACAGGGCACAAACACAATTGATCAAGATTAGTACTTTGAGACTCAAACCACAATTCCCAGTATTACAGAACCAACCAACAAAAGCAGAAACAAGAGCAATTGAAACCCAAACTTGTTCTTTAGCAAAAGCAAAAGAAAAGTTAAGAAAAGACAGTACCTTTTTGAGGGAAAGAACAGCAGGAAAATTTCTATAAACTGCAAAATGGGATTTGAATTGAAGCTAATCTTTGTCAAATTTTATAAAGAAGATGATAAATGAAGAAGGAAATGGGTGCAGAAAAGAGGTTGGAGACTATGGAAGTTTGGCATATAGCTGAAAATGAAAATAGTGAATGCCGGAAAGGAACTTTGCCCGGCCTTTTATATGATTAAAATAAATGGATTTTGTTTATGCAACGTAAGATGGTGGTTTGGCCACTTCTGATGTTGGAGCTGTGTTTTCCATAGCTGGAATATTCTATCCACTTTCTTGTTCTCTAGTCCGCCAGCTGCAACGTCACTCTATTGGGATTATGGGCCTATGGGTACACCACTTTTTTGGGCTTAATATCCAAAAGCCCAAAACTTAATTGGGCCATCCATCAATCCAGTTCAGCATTCTAGGCCCGACTCCTCCTTGATCCAGATCCGTAAAATTCTATAATTTCTTCTTCAAAATAATAATAATAATAATAATAATAATCTACTATCTATCTACTATCTACTATACTAATAAGAGCCCAAGAGAGTTAGGCCTATAATAGGTAGAAAAAATGGCGGTCACAGATTTTAATCAAATGAATGGCTCAAATTGATTAAAAGATTGATAAGATTTAAATTTTACACTAAAATTTCCTAAAATACCACACACCGTTACTAATTCCGTTAAAATTTTAAGAATTGCCGTTAGTTCACCGTTAACTTACTCATTGATTTCAATAAAAAAAAAAAAGGTCTTAGGTTCGAACCTCATCCCAATCAAAGTTGTCATAATTAGTACTCTATTTTACTCTTATTAAATTATATAAATAATAATTTAGTAGCTACAACAAAAAATTATAGATATGCATTTATTTAGTTTAGAATTATGTGTCCACAATGCCTTTATTCAAAAAAAAAAATTATTCATTATCAATAAATTAAATAAGAGAAATAATTGTATTAGTTATATTGTCTTTATTTTTCTACAATATAAAAATTCTTTATATTCAAATTTATTAATTGATTATATTCGCTACATTGTCCTTACAATGTCTTAATTCAGTGAAAAAAAATTATTCATTATCAATAAATTAATTAAGAGAAATATTTTTATTAGTTATATTGTCTTTATTTTTCTCAAATGTAAAAATTTTTACATTCAAATTCATCAATTGATTATATTCACTACATTGTCTATTATCTTTTTTGTGCACTATTTTTCTAATTAAATATCAAAGTTATAATACAAAATAATGCTATATATTTATTTACCAAGTATTTTATTAATACCATGAAAAAATTAAAAAAAAATATATAATTAATAAAGCCAACCATATTAACTACTTGAGAGATTTTGTGACAAAGAGAGTATTCAAATCACACAACAAATTGAAGTGAGAACTACCTTGCAATGTCCTTGTTTGACAATCAGCAGTTAGCACGCGGATTATATTAGCGGATTTGACCAACGAATTTATTTAATTATTAACATTGGGTAGAAAAAATGACCGCCAAATTATTAAATCAAATGAATGGTTCAAATTGTTCAGGTTTTAATTTTTTTAAAAAAATTTTCTAATTTATCTTTAATTATATGATTATCCATTTAACTTTTCTGTTAAATACCGTTAATTCACCGTTAGTCTAATTATAATATTAACGTCTAATATAGAATTATAATTACACCATTAATCTAATTCTAATATTAAAGTCTTAATAGAACTTAACCACAAATCCTAATGTCGAAATCTCCTCAAACAATATTAGTATATATTTAATATTTTATGCCCTAATTTTTATTTGTTCTCCCTTATGTCCCGTATTTGGTTTCAACCATACCTATACAATTATTTTATTGACAATTATAATCAATCTTGACTATATTATCTTGCATTTGTAAACTTAGAATTACCTATTTAACCTGCACGGGTTTAGTTCAATGGTTTAGTGGGCAGTATTTGGGAGAAGAGACCAAGGTTTGAACCTCGGCGGCAGCAGTGCGGGAATTATGTCCAAAGTGGGCAGATTCCTTGTTCGCACCGGCATTTGGTCCTGTCTGCTGAACCATTGAGTCACCGTGATTTACAACTTCCTACAATGCTCTGTCGGGTCAGAGTGTAGGGGGCCCTTGGGGTAGGGGACTCAACCTTTGGGAGAAGAATTACTTATTTAAATACGCAAATTCAACCTTCAATTATCTATACATGAACAATTTCAATATAATCTTGCCTTAATATACTTTAAAGTACTTATTTAAAAAAAAAACATTGGGCATTATCCCAATCGCGCAATGCGCGTAAAAAACTAGTAATAATAATAAGCTCGTTTCGTTATGCTATGCATCCGTATGCACCATGCATGGTGCATACGGATGCAAAAACGACGTCGTTTTATTAAAAACGCGCATCCCACTTAAAAAAAAAATTCAGTTTCGATTCCCCTCAACAGCATTATGTTGTTCATAGATTCTGGAATTTTAGTTCATTGATTATGGATATTTAGACGTGAATCGAAACTGATTTTTTTTTTTCATTCATGCTGGATATTTAGTTTATTCATTATGAATATTTAGTTCATTCATTATGGATTTTTAGTTCATTCATTCTGGAATTTTAGTTCATAGATTCTGGAATTTTAGTTCATAGATTCTGGAATTTTAGTTCATCGATTCTGGAATTTTAGTTCATTGATTCTGGATATATAGTTCAAATTATGCACAATATAATGTTGTTGTTGGGAATCGAAACTGAATTTTTTTTAAGTGAGACGCGCGTTTTTAATAAAACGACCTCGTTTTTGCATCCGTATGCACCATGCATGGTGCATACGGATGCACAACATAATTTGCCTTTTTTTGTGTTTGTGGTAATTGTGGGGTATTAATACTTGCTAGCAAGGAGTCATTTTATACAATGAACTATGATCCATATTGTAACAGAATTAATAGTATTCAAAAAAATATTATAAGGTAGATTAATAATATATTTTTTTTATGGTAGACTACTAATACATATTTATTTTTAGTATATTAAATGTTTATTTTTGATATACTAAATATTCATTTCTAGATAGTACTTTAAAAATGAACCTTAAAAAACAAACATTTAGTATAGTAAAAATGAGCATGTATGCAGTATGTCAATGATTTACTTTACAATGTGAATCATGCATGGTCTACGGTATAAATAATGATTGCTAGCAAGAGAGCATATGCGCAGGATGTAATATGAACAAGGTTAACCCGATCCAAATGTTCAATCCACACATGAAGAATATGGTGGTAACTGTGACGAGAGAACTTACTTCTCACTATAGTTGATGCATGGATGAGCAACGTTAGTGATAGAGCTGTTTTCAAATGAAATCCAATCAAGATTCGATTAGATCGATTAGTCTTACTCTCAAAATATGAATACGAGTGTAATATGTAAAAGAAGACTATTGTATATACATCATCTTATCTTAGTTTGTAAGAATAGTTTATTTCTTAACAATTTGTTCTCTTAGTTTCTTCTCTTAATTACCCATCGTCATCATACTTAATCACTTAAACTAATGATATATATCATTGGCAAGACATACGATACGACCTCATTGAACATATAATACATTTACATACAACACTATAAAAATTATTGTGACCCATAATTGTATTTATTTATTTTTTGAATATTGCCATATTTTATTGTGCTTTAGGTCGGTGATACATAATATAATGCAATTATAATACTCCATATAAGTATGCTTAAACTATATGCTCATCACTATAATGTTTGTTGAGTAAATACTAATGGATCCACATTTAATATATATATATATATTGTAATATCAATTAACATGCATGCATGTTAGAAAGAAATGTGATATATAGATCTATAGAGTCAAACACTCAAGCTTAAAAGTAAATATAGACCAGAGTGCTAACAGTTAGGAATAACGACAATCATTCAACGAGATTGGTATTGCTTGATTAGGTATATCGATATGTAAAAAGCTAATACATTTTCTAATTGGATGGTTAACATAGTGATATTTTCATATACGTTTAGTTTCTAAACTAACAATCAGTTTCTTGAGAGTTTAAACTCATGTCAATAATAAATTTTAAAATATTATTAGTGTCGTGAAATCAAAATTTATGTAACTGAATCAATATCTTTATTTTAAGATTATATTAAAAAAGAAAATAAAGTTAGTGAGTAATGATATATGAGGATGGAAGTGCAGAATAAAGAGAATAAAAGGGAAAGAAAAATGGGGGAATAGGCCGGTGGCCACTAATAATGTGGGGAAGAATAGAATAGAAATTAGAATGGAATTGAAGTAGCTAGGAGGAAACGTCAGCATCTGCCGACAGCGAGGCATTGTTCTACGACCACTCACTCCTTACGTTACGTTAATTGTTTATTCACTATCGCGCCATCTGATCTGCATGATGATTGATGATGATATATATATGTTCCCATTTTATTAGTATGTGCACTGATAAGACAACTATTCAATCCAATTTCACATATATATGCTTCTACCCACCAACTCACCTTCTTTTAATTTCTTTGCATTTACTTTCATAAATTTTTGGTATTCCTATTATTATTATTATTATATATGACATTTATTTTAATTTGGTTTGTAAATTTTGATTTTTGTAATTGTATTAGCAGTTTACTTATCAATTGAAGGATTTATTTCAAATTACTGAATGTCTTTCTTTTTTAAAAGTATGAAACAATAACGGTTACAGAGGATATATATTACAATAATATAATTTTAATTTGATCTTATATATTTTTGAATAGGATGTATTGTAATTAACTCATTTTGTCTTTGCCCATTATACTTGGTCCACAGGGGGAGATGAGGCTCATAAATGATTATGAAGTCAAAGGGCCATAGTTGCTTGCAAGAATCACACGCAATATATACAAGGTTAGTAAGAATGTATTGAGATGTTGTGATGACACGTCTAATCTTTCAATTGTAAGTTAAAAATATGCTAAAATATGAGATGTGATAGTTATATATTAACACTTGCGTGGCTAAATAATTGAAAGAGGACCGACTTTGAATTATCTAACGCGCTCAATTGTACTGCTCAGCTAACTAAAGTTATATGTTTGGATTGACAAAGCTAAGGGCTTTTGACTCATCTACATCTTAATGACGAGTATTTTCTAAACATTATTTAACTCTCATATTTAATAATTACGGTGCTCACAAACGGTCAAGCTTAATTTAAAAGCTAAGCCTTCGTGCACTATTTGAATTTTCCAATCTCACTCTTCATTCTCTTACTACATTATTTAATTCACATCAAACTTGTTTTAATTAGCACCAACAAAGTGTATGTATCAAATACACAACCATTACTAATCAATAGTAAATCAAATGCAAACTCATTACTCTATAACATCACAATGAGCATGTTAAGCTGAAACTGGTGAAGGGCCAAGTACAACAATTAGTGGCTAGGGATCGAAGATTGTTGGACGGAGGCTTGAAGGGCCAATTATAACACCATGCCTCTCAAAATGTTGTGGTACAAGAAAATAAAGACGTGCATTCATTACGAGTTATAGTCTTTGACATAGTGATAAGCATTTGATCATAACAAGTGATATCGGAGTTAGTCAATTAGGTCCTAATAAGGGTAAAAATTGTGCAATTAAGGTTAGTAAGTGAGGAGGGGGAATTGTTCGCTACAACATATAATTTTTGTATAGTGATAAGTGATTGATCGTAATAGAACACGTACTATATATATACTATAAAAATTTAAACCAATAATCTCAATCACATGTTCACTATTAATCACACTATAAAAAAAATCAATAATCTTCGACATTTGCTAATATATCCACCGGCTTCGATATTACTGTAAACTAATATTCTTAAAAAAAAAAAGATAATAAACAATTAATCTCTCTCCAATTACATAAATATTTGGTTTTGTCTTTGTTGTTACTCATAGGTAAAGACAAGTAGAACATTGGTGTTGGACGAGATAAAATATGGCGGTAGACAGAATTTAATGTCATCAGAATTTATTATCCTATTACGTGCTGTTAATCCAACGATTAATTTTAATCCTCATTATTTTAATTAAGCCTATGAGAGGGAACCATATGGATCAAATAAAATTAAATTTTAAAATATTAAGTACTTGTCTTGGACCCCTTCCTTCCCACCCTCCACGCGCACTACCGACACACATACAAATATTTACGACATTTATTTTCTCCCTCCAAATTCATGATAAAATAAAATTCTTTAGGAAAAAAAGTGTAAAATAAACTTTAGAATTACATACGAATAATTAATTAGTTCTTTAAATTTTAAAAAATTAAAATTAAATATTTAAACTCAATGAAATTATACAATCAAATCCTTTTTATCAACAAATATATTACTAGTTACTAGTAAAAAAAAGTGATAACATGACATATTTTAATAATTTATAAATATATTATTTTTCGGGCAAGCACCACGAGTAATGGTGGCAATTGCAACCGTCGATCGCCTTGAATCAGTGAAGAAGGCTACCAACGAATGTGTTGCTGGCGTGCAATGAAGGCCTCAAAAGCGTTGATGGTTTTGTATAATATTTTTATAAATAAAATAGTATTATAATGCATTTTAGTTTGTTTCTATTTTTAATTTGAATGCATGGCTTGACACATATATTGCCACACTGGGTATCCATTTTTGCCTAGGGATAACCGACTATTAGGACTAGCTAGATGCATCAAAATAACATATGGATATGTTTATTATAACTTGTTAAAGTTTCGAGGTTTAGTTTTTTTTTTTTTTGTTTTTTAAATAATAGTTTGATGATTTATTTAACAAATTTTTAAATTATTTATATTTATTAATTATCTATGATTCGATTCACCATACAATTGTAAATATGAATATGATTTTTAATGGATTAACACAATAGATGTGTTTAGTTAATAGATTTTGATCGAGTTAACATGACAATATAATCTATTTAAATCGATTAGATTAGTTACTATACAAATTTTTTAACATTAAACTTTAGAAATATAATCCAATAAAATAGAAAAATATACGATTCAGAATATACCATAAAGTTATAAAATAACATCTAAAAAGCATAATTAACATGTTAATCAATGGGTTAGTCCATTAAGACACGAAACTTAACGACTCAACAAGTTACAACCCGAAATATATGAAGCCTAAGTATAAATTTATTTATTGTTTTACTTGATTTTTGAGTTGCGTAAAAAACTGTCAAGTCTATCTATAATTTTTTTTTAGAAGTATATTAATTGTATCATTAATACAAACCAAACCCTAAGATTTAGAATGTTATTGATTTCAAACTCCAGTGTAATGACTAGTCCTTTTCTGTTCAGTCAAATACTACCAATTTACCAACACTAGAAGACGTCAACAACCCAAAATGGAAGAGAATCCCGTGACTATTTCTTCTCTTCTAATCCACTCTCTGTATATAGAATAAAATAAAAAATTACCCAGCAAAGGGTGAAGATTCCCACTGAAATTATGGGAATTATTAGAAAATTCAAAGCACAAAAAATTAATTAGAGTGTACAAATAACGGTGGAAATTGAGGACTGATTGAACGAGTCACAGTGATTTGAACAAATTGTAAAAATGAAATATTTATTACGGAGTAATTCATAAGATTGTCCCGTTACTTTCTAGTTGTAAAAGTGGGTATATTTACAAGCTAGAAAGTCCTAGGAAAAAAAAGAAAGAAGAAGGGAGTAGGGGACAGGAATTCTGTGGCCTTGGATTCTTTAAGCAGGACGTGGGTGCCAGCTTTAATGGGAAAGGGTAATGGCGTAATGGGTGCACAAAAAGTATGAGCCCCAGAAAAAGTTAGTCGCAAAAATCATATAATATTTGCACATGATTACAAGTATATTTTCTTGGGTTAACAATAAATAGTATTTAACAAAAGTTGGAAGCTCTGACAAGGCCCTTTTGTTCCCTAGTTGGGACTGACTGAGCGAGCGAGCGAGCTTGAAGATGAGAGAGCTAATGGGGCTGCCGTGGGCGGTGGCGCTTCTCATTGGGTTTCTGCTCAACGCGCCGCCCTCCGCCGTCGCTGATACAGATCCGACTGATGGTTAGTTTCTTCTTCAACCTCCTCTCTCTCTGTTTATAGGAACTGTTGTTTTTTGTCTGGGTAATTACTGAGAGGGTTTGAATGGTGAATGGATTGTGGGTTTCTTGGAATGTGAGTGTGGGATTTGGGAACAGTGAGTAAAGATGGCAACTTTTTTTGTTATCATATGTTTATGTATGCTTTATGGGACTGTTGAAGAATGAAGATGAAAGCTTATCTTGTTCAAAGGGCCTGGAATGGAAGATAGTTTGATGCTGCTCTCTTGTGAAATTATGCATTTTTCTTGTTTTTCATTTCTTGGGGTTTTGAATCTCTTTTTCTTTTGTCGGTAGTAAAAGGCAATAATATCTTTAGTTTTGCCTGTCATTGTTGGAATTTCACCTTCATTCATAGCTTCCCAGAATCCCAGTTCTAGTTGTTTCTCAAAGATGGTTCATTTACTTAAGAATTTCTGGTTTTTGTCTTTATAAAGTTAGGAGTTCAAGCCCACACAGGTAGCTTAGTTGGTTCTTGGGTGGGAGATTGTTGCCCAAGGGGACATGTCAGCCACTCTCTTCTGGGGTGGCTCTTTGTGGCCCACCTAATGGGCTGCTGAGTCACCGTGATTTAACCCTCCACAATCTTGTTGGGTTGAGGTGTGGGGGCCTGGGCGAGGGATTTTGCCTTTTGTGGGCAAAGTTAGGAGTTCCGGGTAGAGTAAGTTAATGGCTTGATTCCGTTGTAACGGAGGGTTAAATGTAGTTATTATAGTTGAAAATTTTAGACATCGTTTTTCAATTGTTTGTTCCAAGATGATGGTATTCATGCTTTTGTGAAAAAGTGATAAACCGGAAACTTGCTTTTTGCATTTCCAGCGTCAGTTCTGAGGGGGTTGTTCTCCAGCCTGAACTCACCACCGCAGCTTACAAAATGGACGGCAAATGGTGGAGACCCTTGTGGAGAGTCGTGGAAGGGCGTTAGTTGTTCAGGCAATAGAGTAACCGAAATGTGATCCTCTATTGCCCTTGTCATTACCCTCTATCGTAGCTCTTGACCCGATATTTATTTCTTTCGTTTCATTTTTTTCAGTCAGATTTCGGGTCTACAACTCACTGGGTCAATGGGATTCCAATTGGATCAACTGAAATCTGTAACCACCTTGTAAGGCAGATGGCTTTCTATGACATTAGTTTCTGTGGGTTTCTTGGAATTCCCTATAAACGATTTCTTTGAATTTTGCAGTGATATAAGTACTAACAATCTCGGGAACTCATTGCCATATCAGCTCCCTCCAAATGTACAGAAACTGTAAGCTTCTTACTAGCTCAATCTACAATCCTTTGCTTTTATAAAATGCGTTTCGCCGTTTAAAATTCCTCTTTAAAATGCAGAAATCTCGCTGGTAATGGCTTTACCGGTGGCCTCCCATATTCCATTTCACAAATGGCCCCCCTCGAATATTTGTAAGCGAACTTGATTGGAAATTCAATTTTGGAAATTAAATTTATGTGACTTATGCCGTTGTTGCTTTTCCAATTGTAGAAATGTTAGTCACAATCAACTCCAGGGCGAAGTGACCGTCATGTTCGTATCGCTTACGAACCTGTCGACACTGTAAGACCCGTACCCAGACTCTTCCGTTTCTTGAAATTTCTTGAAATTCGTCTTATTATGAACTGAATGAGATCTTTCGAAATTAATGCTTCAGGGATTTCTCTTTTAATTCTCTGGCTGGTAATATTCCTCAAACTTTCAGCTCGCTTACAAATATGAAAAACATGTAAGTATAATTTATTATTTTGTTTTTTAGTATTTGTCATGTTTCGTTTGAAAGCTGGTTTAACATGGATGGAGTTTGTGTTGTCTTGTAGGTATTTGCAGAATAACGTGTTTACTGGAACTATTGATGTTCTTGCAAATCTTCCCCTCGATAATCTGTGAGTTGTATATTTACGCATTTCGATATCTACTACTACATATATTAGTTGGAATGAACTGTGCAGTGACACGTACTTTTGGTTCTAGAAATGTCGAGAACAACCATTTTACGGGATGGATCCCTCCACAGTTGCAAGGCATAAACAGTTTACAGTGAGTATTTTTGATTGCACGGGTTTAATTTGCGGGGGAGAAATCTTTGTTCGTGTGATCGTGTCTAATTCATTGTTCTTGTACAGAACGGGTGGTAATTCATGGAACTCGGGCCCTGCGCCCCCGCCTCCACCTGGCACTCCACCGGCAAACAGGCCCAATCATAGATCCGGAGGCGGCAGCAGCCCATCAAATGGTGGAGGCAGTGATAATGGTGGTGGCGGTGGCGGTGGAAAATCGGGTATCGGGGGTGGAGCTGTTGCGGGAATTGTGATATCCATTTTGATTATAGGAGCAATAGCAGCATTCTTTATTATCAAGAGAAGATCGAGGAGGACTTCAACCGATATCGAAAAGGTTAATAGTCAGCAGTTTCCTCCTCTCGTCTCGCACAAAGTACAAGGTATGTATCGAGCTCATTTCTACCCTATAGGCCTCGAATAGGTCAAGGTCACTCAATTGGGCTATAAATTGTATGATATAATGCACGTGGGTCGACTGAATCCAATCAATTAGCTAGCCTAACCCATGACCTTATAAATCCATATGTTCTCTCATATTTTCTGGGACTCTTAACAAAGGAAAAAAGGCTACTTTCATTGAAATTTCATGTTATTAGGTGTCACGCTATGTTCTTTGCTTGATTTTCCGTCAATTTGGGTGCAGAGATGAAATCTGTTCAAACGTCCTCCACACTGGGAACGAAAACCGTGGAGACGCCAGTCGAAGTAAATTTAAGACCTCCTCCTATCGACCGTCCTAAATCGTTCGACGAAGATGATATATCACCCAAGCCCGTTGTTACCCCCAAGAAAATCGATACGTCTCAAATAAATGCTACCCAATACACTGTTGCAGACCTGCAAATCGCTACAGATAGCTTCTCCATCGAAAATCTTCTTGGCGAGGGATCGATTGGACGTGTTTACCGGGCTCAATTTGAAGATGGAAAGGTATAACCTTTACCTAGTTAATAGCGTACATTTCACAGCGATATTATAGATAAATAATCAATGAATGATCTTTTGCCACTTTATAGTGTTAACATCTTTCATTGTGTTAGGTTCTTGCTGTCAAGAAAATAAACTCCACTGCTATTGGGAACCCCGAAGATTTTCTGGATATAGTTTCTGAGATATCCCGACTGCATCATCCAAATGTCACCGAGCTGATTGGGTATTGTTCGGAGCACCGACAGTATCTACTAGCTTATGAGTTCTACAAAAACGGTTCTTTGCATGATCTTTTGCATCTCTCCGACGAATACACCAAGCCGCTGACTTGGAACAACAGAGTGAAGATTGCTTTGGGGGCAGCACGTGCACTGGAGTAAGTTTAATTAAACATTATACTAATAACTACTCCGTATTTTAGTAGCTATATGATTCAATTGATATCAGAAAAAAAGTACTTTGGAAAAAATTATTTACTTGCCTACAAACATCGGCCATCAATTGGGCTATAATGAACATGGTCAAACCACACTAAAAGATTGAATCCAGCCAATTAGCTAGTGTAACCCATGGCCTTATAAACCCATATGTTCTCTCTTATTTTATAGATGTGGGACTCTTAACGGTATTTACATACAAGTTTGCCTGCAAGCTTACTAAGCGTCATTTGCAGGTATCTACATGAAGTTTGCTCGCCATCGGTGGTTCATAAAAATTTCAAATCTGCTAACGTTTTACTTGATTCGGAGTTCAACCCTCACCTATCGGACTCTGGGTTAGCTAGCCTTATCCCAGACGAAGATCAGGTAGCTTCTTGCATGCCTTTTGTGTATTAGCTTAGTGCTTAACCTTTGAGTGTTTGGTTGATTTGGAAAATTTCCTCGCATAAAATTGCTTTCATAGTTTGGCTTATTTTCCGTTGTATGAATTATGCACTTTGTCTTTAAATTGCATTGGTTTGGTAAAATCCCGCGAATGTCCCCAGATTACTATTATGTCGTTGAAGCTTCTAATTTCGAACTTCTTCAGGCTCTAAACCAGAATTCAGCGTCTGGATATGGTGCGCCTGAGGTGGCCATGTCTGGTCAGTATACAATAAAGAGCGATGTGTACAGTTTTGGCGTTGCCATGTTGGAACTTCTTACTGGAAGAACACCATTTGACAGGTAAATTTCTTCGAGAAACTACAATTTCGTCCCAGAGAGGTAATAGGAAATGGTCTAGAGATTCCGGCTTTTCTGATGACACTTTCTTCATTATGTAGTTCAAGGCCAAGACCCGAGCAATCCTTAGTTCGATGGGCTACACCTCAGCTCCACGACATTGACGCCTTATCTAAGATGGTTGATCCAGCACTGAAAGGGCTCTATCCAGTTAAATCTCTCTCCCGCTTTGCTGATGTCATTGCACTATGTGTCCAGGTAATTTCTCGAGCCAAAATTTAACCAAAACCAGTAACTCTATACTCTTTCCATTAAAATATAAGCGAGCTACAATCCCGTGCTGCCTGCTTGAAAGAAACTATTTAGTTCACACTATTGCTATGTGTTAATGGTTCACTACAAAACATGTGGCAGCCGGAGCCTGAGTTCCGACCACCTATGTCGGAAGTTGTTGAGGCGTTGGTCCGGCTGGTGCAACGGGCCAACATGAGCAGGAGGACATTCGGCGCTGATTCAAGGACCAGGTCTGGTAGCGCAGATTCTCAGGAATACGAGCTTTAGATTCCTCGGACGCCATGTTTTGCTGCTCCTAATCCTGATGTTCGTTGTATCATAACGGTAGCGGATTCTGTAACATTGTTAATAGCGTGATCCGTTTCGTTTGCATTTGCTGCCATTAGATTAGCTTCTTCTTCTTCTTCACCTTCTGCAGAACTGGACTCCTGGATTCTTGTTTTTGTAATATGGGAGTCTATTGAGAAGAGTTGTGTACTATCTCACTCTGGATTTTTCCTCCTATACAACATATCGTTTCTTCGTTTTCCATTTTCGGGCTTTCTGAGTCCCAGAATTTTCAGATCATTGCGAGTTCCAAATGATTGCTTACACAAGAAAATCTTATGGCTCTGATATGAGATACAAGAACAATGGAGCACAGAAGAAATCTATGCCCAAATGAAATTAAAAAATTTTAAAAATCTGTAGGACAAAACGAATCAGCAATGTGCTAAAGCTAATATTGTACACTAAAATACAGAGAAAAAATGGGGCAAAAATGCAGATGGCCATACATAGAAGTGAACAAAGCAAACACCATCTAACCATTTCTATCATCTTCAGCTTCCAGTAAATGTTGATCAGTGAAACTCGATGAAGAATGAATAGTTTTCTGATTCCATAGGCTCTGCTGGTGGCAATACGAAAAGTATAAGAAATTTAGGGAGTCACTCATCGTCTGCAATAAAGTTTGGCACTTCACCCTGACAAAGATACTCGTCGCACATTGATGCTGATCCCCAGCCCCTCCGGAGTCTTAAAATGTCCTCGGTGAAGGTGGATCCCGGAGCTCCAATAAACACCGAAGACAAAGCACATATCGTCTTGTCTAGCATTGCTTCCACCTTCAAGGTGAAAATACAAGAAATATATTGAAGGGTAAGAAGAGTAGAAAACAAAGACGAAAGTCAATACAAAAACAGTATTTATGGGAAGAAACATCAGACTAATCCTACACCTAAAGTGACCCGATTGTCTTCTTCAACAGAGTCATACACTTGTCTCTGCTGTCCCACAAAATACAAAATGAACTGATGCTCGAAACTTCAGCAGAATTGCAATAATAAATCATGTGGTGATCAAAAAAAAGTTTTTAAAAATTAGAGATTCAATATGAAAGGGTTGCCACTCAACACTGCCTATTACACATCTATATCAGATTGAGTACATGAAAGATAAAATAAAATAAAAGGTCGAATATCAGCAAAACAAATTTTGACGATAAAAGTAATTTCCCCTATGAGACATATGTCCTGCAATAAGCCAATAACCAATAGACAATTTTTGGATGAAAATATCCGTCTTACATATTACTCAATACAATATTTTCAAATGCAAATTAAATGACCCTTGCATTTTATGAAATAAATTTTGAAATAATTCTTTGGAGAGTAAAATATTTAGTCTAAAGTCCATTATCAATTAACCCAGACACATTGATGCACAAAGTTTGAAACAATTGTGTAATAAATCAAAAAATCACCTGAGTGTCTTCCTCAAGGCCGTGTCTATATAATAGCGCATCCCATTTTTCGGCTGAATTACGAGCAGGTCTTTTAACAAGTGGCACAGTCTTTCCATTGAAGACAACAAGAGACTGAAGCAAACTAGTTTCACTTTCAGCAGCATCTGTAGATAGATATATTACTGGAGAATTGGCCCTTTCAAGCACACGATTGATACAATCTGCAGCTTGAGGAACAGGGTAGAAGCAACTTGGTTTCTTGGCATTGCTGATAATTTGGTAAGTATAATTAGAAATAATCAAAACAAAACAGATTCTTGAAAGCATATGAAGCAAACTCTAGCTACAAACTACAGCATTAGATGAATATTTTGAGGCATGAAGATGCAAAGCTGACTGTGAAGCTTAAGAGGTAGGTCTTACATAATCAGAGCACATTAGTCATTCTCAACTTTACAGGTTTCTAAAATATGCATATACATATCTCTTCTACTCCTCGCCTTCAAGGTTTTGATTCTTGTCTTTTACATTCAAAAGTTAAAAGCATACTTTCTTGATGATTAAAATGAAAGCATCTTAATGGTTTTTAAAGCATCTTAATCTTTAAAAAAAAATGGTTTTTAACAAGATAGACAGCAAAGAAACGACGACATACCAAAATTTTAAGAAGCCATGTCTACGGAAGTGAAGTGCTATGAAGTCCTCTCCCAAAAATGTCTGAACAAATCGCTGGGCAGTGAGCATAATAAGACGGCTGGGCTCGATAAGTGTCTTACATTTGTGGGCAATGGGACCACCTGGCTGCATCACCCAGCCTGTCTCCACATCAGCAAAGAACACATCACCAATAGCAATAACATCATCATTTGAAGAAAACTTTGAAACTATATCTTGGACAGTCTTTTGCTTTGGCTTCTTAACATCCTCATTCCAAGCAGTTTCAATCTTATTCATAGAAACCCCTGAAGACTTCAACTTTTTAATTCGATCATCATCCATAAAGCAGGGTTGTGGCTGGGAAAAATAACAAATGACCTTATCTATATGCACATGATTCTTCTGACTTTCTGCAAACTCCTCATAAGTGAGGACTACTTTTCTCCCCAAACACTTATTAATGTGATCAACATCCAACACCCTCTGAAACTCATAATCAACTTTTGAGCTTGGAACAACCAAAAACCGGTTAAGTACAGCTGCAAAAAACATGTGCTTCTCCAAACAAATCAAATGGTTCGACATTTGGCCTGAGACACAAATGGCAAACAAGTACTTATTTGATTCTGGCTTCCACTCTATAGTTTTCCTCTCAGACCATCCCTGATCAACCTTTCTACACCTACCTAAACCGCTAATGCTTGGATCTGTGTTATTATCAGATAAATCTAATGAATTCCCCAATTGATGGGATGACAGGAGCACTTGTTGAATTTGCTTATTCAATGAAATCTGACTTAGCAAATCAGCTTTCAGATCCTCTAAAAATACAGCGGAAAATGAAGATCCCGTCCTCTCCAAACTCGAATTCGAACTACCGCTACCAGCATTACTAGAAGTAGAATTACCAGTATTATTAACAGCAGCCAATCTCGTTTTATTTACGAATGTATGATTCCACTGCTTGAAAAGCTCTAACTGCTGTTGTCTAAGCAAATACAGAGCCCGCAACTCGGACTCGCGCATGCGATTAGCCGGAGAATCGAAAGTAATCTTCGAGACTCCGGTTCGGAAGATGTTTTTGATGTCGGTAGTGGCATAGAGAAGGATAACGAAGAGTGGGAGAATGATGGCTAAGCAGTACCTCTTCCTGCAGATGAAGTTGAACCGCGCGGGGTCGATGAAGCGGTCTTTATTGCCGTCGATCTGGAAGGAGGAGCGGCCAGGCGATCTCGCGCCGTCCCGCCGTTCGCCGTCGCCGATTAGGTTACGGCTATCCTCTTCGTCGTCGGAAGAGGATGCTCTGTCCATTGTGCTGGTGACGAAGATCAAATGCGCATCGAGAATTTGTAACTGTAAGCTCTGGTTTCTCTCTCACGCAGTACACTTTTCAGTGTGCGTTTTTGCAGTTGCGACGTAGGAGTGTAAACCAGAATTCATCATTAGTATTCGGATTCATGATTTGTCGGTTGAGGAAAGTGACTACTTACCGCCTTACCGGATCCTGATTCCTGACCCGTTGATGCGTTATGCCAACCCGCGAGCTGCTGACGGGTCATCCATCCTGCCCATCCCGAAATGAGTAATACTAATTACTAGTACTACACATACTTTCATTTTTACTACATTGTATATTCCATTCTTATATTGTATATATCTTGATTCATTAAAAAACATGTAAGTTATAATTTTTTTTTCTCCTTCTAAAAAAGACACATGACAAGAGTTTTACTCCTTTAAAGTCCATTTATCAAACTACTCGTGAACTATTTAGGTTTGATTTTATAAATATTTCAGTGTTGTAAAAATCAAGCTAAGTGCCCTTAGACTGAGGCGATTCCAACTCTATGTAGCTTTTAGTCTGTCGGCTAAACGTCCTAGGCGTTGAGTTGGGCGCCTAACTCGGCCGAGTCGGGGTCCAACTCAATTGAGTCGGCCCTCAACTCGGGCAAATGATTTTTTTGCCTGCTCGATTGCTTATCTTCTATATTCCTCCAGCTATTTATTCAACTAACCATCTAACATACTAGTTGACTAGTTTGAGAAATTATAAAAGTCTAACAACTCACAATCTTGAGTAAAAAAGTAGAGATGATATACTCATATTATTCGGCCGCTTAGGTGCTCTAAATGTTAGGCGCCACCGGACGCCTTACTAGCGCCTAACGCCTTCTGCAAAATTGAAATATTCAAATTTAATTCAATTACGATCAAGTTGGCATCAAATACAAGTGGAATAATAGTCAAATAAGTCATCTGTTACACAACAAACTGCAATTGGGCTATCGAACTAAAAAAAAAACTATAATTAAGTCCCCGAACAATACAAAATAATGCAATCCAACTTAAAGTGACTTGTTCACCTGATAACATGCTGACGTGGCAATATTTTAAAAATTGTTATTTTAATAAATTTAAATAAAATAATTATTTAAAAAAATCAGGGTCACCTTCTCCGTGTAGAAGGCAAGGCAACCCAGTGGGTTGCCTTCTCTAGTGAGAAGGCGACCCTTTTTTTTAAAAAAAAATATTTATTTTATTTAAATTTATTAAAATATTTTTTAAAAATATTTTTAAATTCGGTAATCACTACTTCTCCATGTTACCAGGTCATAGGTTAAATTGTATTATTTTGCATTATTTGAGAATTTAATTATATATTTTTTTTAATTTGATGATTCATTACGGTTTGATATGTAATTAGATCACCTATTTGACCTTAATCCAATTCAAGTAATAAATCTGAGCATTTTAATACACTATTGAGTAGCTCACGACACTAATCGAGTTTAATAATTTTATATAAAACTGATGAAGTTATAGAATAGTGTAATCGAATCAATCAATTGGAGCAACTTGTGCAACCGAATTGTCATGTAGTTGTAGGCTACGTTTGTTAGCTGGAAGCTACGATAGGCAAATGACAAACATTATGACCACCCCCATCTTTAGCCCTTCAATTAGGTCTCGCCATGTAGACCCCACTTGTCCTGTCAGTTGGCCTTTTAAATGGTTTTTGCTACCGTACAAAGAAAATGGATTGTTTTTTTGTTGATGGGAGAAAGGTTTTTTTTTTTTTTTTTTTTTTTTTTTTTTTTTTTTTTCGCATTTTACTCTTGCAATGTCTTAATTTTTGTCAGAAAAAAAAAAAAAGACTAATTGCGTCTCACTGTCCACCCACCCAACAGACGGTGAACGTCAGAGTGGTCACCAGCTAACAGCCACCCTAACTAGAGACCGTTGCTTTTCCCTTTTTTAGAAAAAATTGTCATATTTTCTTTTTCTTTTTCTCTCTCCTACATGACTTCCTAAAAAAGTGAAAAAACTCAACAATTCTCAATCAGAACATCATGTAAAAATTTATTTGCTGACACGCCATGTAATTGAACTCTATTCAAAATTCTACATTTAGGGTGTGTTTGGAAACCTGGAAAATGAGTTCTGGAAATCATTTTCCAAGTTTCCATTGTTTGGATGTGCCTGGAAAATCAAGTCGTTTTCCGTTGACTTTGGAAAATAGGCTTGTTTTGGAGGAAAATGACTTCCCCTTTTTTTGGGGGGAAGTCATTTTCCAACTTTTACACCAACATCATCAACACCATACCACCATCACCACCACTACTGCCGCCGCCACCACCACTATACCACCGCCACCATCACACCACCACCACTGCCACCACCAACACCATACCACCGCAACCACCGCCACCACCGCCATCACACCGCCGTCGCCGCAGCCACCACCACCACCATACCACCGCAACCACCGCCACCACACCACCACTGCCACCACCGTCATACTACCACCACCATCACACCAACACCACTACCGCCGCCGCCACCACCACCATACTACCGCAACCACCATCACCGCCGCCACCACCATACCACCGCAACCACTGCCACCACTATCACACCGCCGCCGCCACCACCATACCACCGCAACCACTGCCACCACTATCACACCGCCGCCGCCACCACCACCACGACCATACAACCGCAATCACCGCCGTCGCCACCACCACCACCACCATACCACCACCACCACCACACCACTGCCACCACCGTCATACCACCACCAATTATTATTATTATTATTATTATTATTATTATTATTATTATATAACGAATAACACCACTACCACTACACCACCACCACTACCATAATATTTTTGATATATTATTTTTTTTTTTTTTGAGAAACTTAGCTATTTTTTATTATATTTAAAATTAATATTATATTATTATATATTATTATACATCTTGTAATATTCTAAATAAAATAATTAAAATATTTAATTATACAATTTTACTCATTTTCCAGAAAATGAACCAAACACACAAAAACAATTTTCCAGAATGCAACCAAACACTGGAAAGGAAAATGTTTTCCGGAAAATGACTCATTTTCCAGAAAACATTTTCCAAAAGTTATTTTCGTGCTTTCCAAACGGACCCTTAACTTTATAAATTTATCTTTTCACTATAATTAAAATTAGTAAATCAATAGACAGCAAGATCTTCAAATATTTAAATGGTGAATCTTTTAGGTCTGTGTCATTCCCTATCTTCTATTCTCCACAAAGAGAATTCATGCCCCAAAGCTCTATGAAATATTCAATAAATTAGGCAAGCAGAAAGAAGTGCATAGTTATGACTGGAGATTTTTTTTTTTTTTTACAAGATGGACACTATATAGATACTACAACAGAATCAGAGAAAGCTAATGACCTAAGATGAAAGTAGTCTTCTATGCCTCCTCCAGTTGGAATGAGTGAATGACAGCATAAGATAAATATGTAAATATATCGTAACTGAATCTAACCTTCCTTGGCTACATCAACCAATCTCCCGCAAATCCATTGCTTGGTTGTGGTTGTGCTATTTGACGCGGGATGGGCACTCTCGGGCTGAGATATCAATCCATTTGGCAATGGCTCGGACTGCAATGTCATTTCATGTGGCGGTGACTTGTGCTCATCTTCTTCAACCTCATTTGCCTTGTGATCACCAGACTCGAAGGGGTGCATCACTTCCTCAACTGGTGGTGGTGCCACATCACTTGAAATCACTTGGTACAAATTTTCCTTGCTGCCAAGTAAATCATAGTCGTCTGAGCTTGAAAAGACTGCTGTTTCATTACCGTTCAATAAACCATGGAAGTTTTTGGTAAAGTTGAAGCTGTGAAAACCGTCACCATTGGGCATCAATACTTGGGCTCCATTTGTTTTTCTCTTGTCAATTTCATCCAAATCTTCCGCGTCTGCATCTGTTAAATCATCAACATTGGCGATTTCAGGCAGTGTAAGTAATTGGTCTCCCTCATTTTGACCCGAAAGTATCTCTTCCATATCTATGGAGTCAATGGATTGAATTGCTTCTGCAATGAGATTCCTGGTCTCAACAAGGGATGCTCGAGCAACAGGACTCTGCCTGGCAGCAATCTCAAGAGCCTTTGCCGCCTTCTCAGCCTCAGCAATCAACAACCTGAAAACATTTGTTATACAAAATTTTCTCTTAAAATTCAATTTGTTATCAACAAGCTCGGGGACAGAAATAACTTTCATGCTTGGAATGAGCTTTCATATATGAAATAAATGCCAGATATCCCAACTTCTTCACTGATTTTGACATGTGCACTTGTGCATTTATACAGGAGGTTCACCCCATAGACATAAATTATTAGAAAACTTCTGACACTTGATATGGATTTTCACGATCTAAAAAAGGGTTTCCTTCTATGTATCTTCACTATCACTTAGCTCCTTACCATCTTTGTCTTTAGAATTTTATACGTAAACGAAACCAAGATATGTGAATTGAAAGTCAGACAGAGAAAAAACTAACTTTGCTCTTTTAACAGCTTCAATTTTCTCGTTGTCAGCCCCTGCTCTCCGTGCCCGAATATTTCTTAACATTTCCAGCTTGGAATGTGCTAAAGGATCCTTGTATTTTGGTGTATAGCTTTTCTTTATCGTGGCTTGTTTTGTATGAGGCCTATGATTATGAACAGTTACACCACCAATATCAACTTTCTTCTTGGGCGGTCTTCTGTTTTGGGTCTGTCCATCACTCCTTGGCTTTCTTTCAACCCCCTCTCTGGTGCCATGAAATTTAGCTAGAGAAGAGCAGACCCGAGTTCGGTAATCCTATTTAGACAAGAGCAGAATGTGTCAAGAACTATTAAATTGAATATAACTAAGAAGTGCAAAGATTTAAATTGATAGCCATTGAAGCTAGATATCAATGTCGAGGAGAGTGGATAATCACACATATTAAAAAGAAAACGCAGACTATATAGGAATCAAGATCAGCTATTCTTAATGAAGCATTAGCTCTTACGGGATCAGCCCATTTAGCAGCAATGGCCTCAGCAATTTTCCTCCTCTGTTCAGCAGATTTTGGAGCTCTCTTGTTTCCTTTCTGTCTACGTGTTTTTCTTTGCTCAACACTCACCATCCACTGCTTCTCAAGCTGTCTATTCAAAATCTTATATGAGTTCCATTGCAACTCTTCCTGACCAGAAAGGCCCTTTCTAGAAGCTTCTGCAATTAAATTCTGCCATTCATAGCAGCATGTCTCCTGCAGTTTCAGCATCTTTTGGCGCTTTTCCCACCCAGCTCGTACACCAACTCCAATTTTTAACCTTGTTTCCTCACTGCATAGCCATGTCAAACATAGTGTTCAGTCTGAATAAACTTCTTTGCACTCACCTTTACAGACCCAGAAAAAAAAAAAAAAAAAAAAAAAAAAAAAACGCTCTTTCTTGCTATTAATCATTAGAATATAATAAGATTTTAAGACTAAATTATTGGTACATATATGAGCTCTAATAATTATTCTGTTAACATTTTATAAGTCAGCATAAATAATTTTAAAAATGTATACAAATTATTTTCTATATTAGTCGTGAGGGAAGATGGGCTGAGTATATAAGTAGTTTAGCATGCCATTAAATTTTAGTAATTAAAAACTTGTGCTGAGAAAAAAAAAAAAAAAAAAAAGAGCCAATAGTTACTATAGGAAGACAAGGCATCAACCTTAATAACTGGACCAAATAGATGTAGTAGTTCACAATTCTTTCTAATGGACAAAAAAAATTATTGTCTAAAACTTTCTCAACAAGTAGATCTTTTATAAAACAATTATATATTGAAACCATAGAAAATTTTTTACTATAAGTTAATTTTCAAAACCTACCTTTGAGCATGCCCGAAGTTGACTAGCTTCATCCTTACCTGTGTAGGCTGAACTTGTTAGTAAAATAAACAACCTAGTCAAACATTGCAAAACTCTGCAATATTTATTCTTATTGTTTGTTAAAACTTAAAAGTAAAATGTTTAGCTCTCAACTATGATAAGCTCTCGTGCAAATTTCTCATTGGGCATTATTAGTCTTACAAACATGGTTACAAGGAAAATCCTACCACAGCAGAGGAATTAGTTATTAGAATAATAGAAAGGTTATCTTTAATGGATAAATAGACAAACAAAAGTTTACAAGACAATCCCATCTGAGCCCATTACTTGCACAATTCTTACACTAAGCCACTAAGGTACCCTAGCATTATGAGCACACCCTTTCAAAGATGGGCAACTATTGTGCTGAGCATTACTTTGAAAGCAATGAACATTCAAGGATAATTAGAGATTATAGATTAAATAATCTACTTTCTACATTTTGGTAAAGATTAAGAATTATGGATTGCACAAGACCTTTTTGCTTATTCAAGCAAATGATCCACAAGTAATTATGGATGATTTACAATCCATAACCATAACCGATAAATCATAAGTTTTACCAAACAGGAAAATAATTTGCACCCTAATTAAATAGGGTAAGATTATCAAGCTTCAAGATCAACCCACACCACAAGGGTAACTAGAAAGTAAGCATAAAAGTCTGGCTTGATAAGAATACATTTAAGTTCTTCATTACTTTCATATTAATTCTTTTGAAATATTTCATATGCAATTGCAAAGAGGATAACAGAAATGATTGCAAAGGTAGATGGAAAACCCGACTTAAATTCATTTTTTAAATTTATCCATTGTTAATGGAGTATTTTTGTACAGAGTGATCCTCTTTTGAAACTGTTTCCTGATTTTTCTTTGTCATTTGCTTTCCATCTTGTAACATGATTTTTATGTGACATCACCTTAGGATCTCGCATTGCAATCCTGGTTCTCTCTTTAATCTTCTGCAGAGTTTCTGCAAATGATTAACACGGTTGAAGACGTTAATTGTTCTAACCAAACAACAAGCTAAAAGAAAAAAAGTAAAGGGAATATCAAAATACCCGGACTGTGCTTCCTGCCTTTATTCCAAGGTGTCTTCCCTTTGTTAGCTTTGGAAATCCTACTCCGTCTTAACTTCTCTATTTCATCCAATTTAGTTGACTCATCAGTTCGAGATTGTCCCTCAATGGCACTGCAAGTCGAGTTTCCAGAACCAATACTCGTTCCCGTACTACTTTGATAGCCACCACCATCCTCATTTACCTGGTTAGATTGGGTTGATTCTTTTTCAAGAGTAGCCACTGCTCTTATCATCAACCCACCCCGGCATAACTTAATTCCCCCAAAACTATGAGCTTTTTCCGGTACACAGAAAGATTTCCATAACGAAGCAAACCTAATATCCTTCCCAGACTTGAATCTATTACAGAAGAGAAGTTGAGAACTAACTGCACAAACATCTTTCTGGAAAACAGGCCGTGTAGTTACTGTAGTAGCAATATCTGCACAGCAATTTAAGACGCAACAACATATGAAAACCCAGTATATCATAAACAGTAGCTCACTGAAACAAAAACACAAACATGACGAGTGCACTGAACTACTCTAAATCCAAGAAAATGCATTTCACCTAGTATCAAATAAAAACCGCGCGCGTGGGCACAATGTTCAAGAATACATAAACAGGGACAATAAATCTGCGTAAAGATACAAAATTTACCTAATAAATGCATGGGGAGCTCATCCAGTCAACTGCAATGGGCAGAATTCAGATAAAGAAATGTAATGCCCGGTGATTTTCAATCCTTGGTGCTGCCCAAGTTGAAACCTTTGCTGAAATCTGGTGCTAGGGTTTGTAAAGGATTAGCGGAAACGGGAATGCAAATTATGCAATCAGAGAAGCAAGGAGGAGTGAAGAACAACTATGGGTGCGTAGTTGAGACTTGAGAGAGGAGAGGCCACAAACCTTAATGAGAAATGAGTAGTCGTGTCCAAATAGAACCTCAGGCGCAAAAGAGTAGATATTATGCAGTAGATAATGATTTTTTCTTTCTTTCTTATGTTATTTATTTATTTATTTATTTGCATTTTTATATTTCGCTCTTTACGCCTATTCTCCATTTCATGTTTAAAAATTATTAAAAAAAAAACCACAAATTAACAACACTATTTTTTTTATCCAAGTTTAAAATTAATTTTTTTTAACTATACCATTATAAAATTAATTAAAATTTTAAAATTTTTATAAAATTTTTAGACCTAATATTCAAAATATTTTTTGTATATATTAAATTTGAGTTTAGTATATGTAAAATTTTAACATGTAGTATCTACACCAAATTTATATATGTACAGAGTGTATAAATTAACTAAAAATATCCGAACTAATAAGATCATATGAGAACTTATTCCTAATATAAACACTAATCTCAATCATTTTATCTGGTTAAATCTAACAATTCTAGTGTAAGGGTAGGAGTCGAGGAGGGAGGGGAGGAAGGTACAATAATACTTTGATCAATAATTAAAACTTTTAAAATGCACTTTGTAGCATCATATGGTACATTTTGCAACACTACACAATGCAATAGTAAGTGTTAAGAATGAAAAGTGGTGATAGTAAGTGAGGAAAAAAAATTGTTATTTTTTCTTCAAAAAAAATGTTATTTTTGTGAAATTTATGGATAAAAAGTGTCATCTAACATTGAATTATATGAAAATTGTATATAATAAAGTTTTAAAATGTATGATTTTACACCATTCTCATATTGTTCTTCTTTATATTTTCTCATCTTTAATTTGTTATTCATTTTTTTTTGAAAACTTAATTTGTTATTCATAATCATTATTATAACATAATATATTTTATGCTTCACACGAGTAAAACACTAGTGTAGATAGTATGAATACTATTTTTGTTAACTATTCTAAAGACTAAATACCCAAAATGGTCCCTCGACTATAGCTAAATTCATAAATTAGTCCTCAATTTTCAATTTCAACCAATTAAGTCCTTAACTTTGTAATTTTAACACAATTTGGTCCTCTGTCTATTTGACCGTTTGTTGACTGTGATTTTTGAGGATATATATGTAATTTCATGGTCCGTCGTCGATTTTTTAAGGTTCTGGTTGCATTTTCAGACCGCACTGTTACATTTGAATCCGCTGTCGAAAGCAATCTACCAAATTCGGTCCCCTTTCTTCATCCTCCCTTTGGATTCAATGTAGTTGAGTTCGTACCAGAGCGAAGAAGACGACGTGTTTCCGAACCAGTGCAACGTCATCCTGGAGGCCTCCACGTGCTCCGACGAGAGCTGAAGGTTCTTCTGGAGATCGTCGATCACGGTCAACAAACGGTCAAATAGACGGAGGACCAAATCGTGTCAAAATTACAAAGTTAAGGACTTAATTGGTTGAAATTAAAAGTCGAAGATCAAATTGTGAATTTAGTTATAGTTGAGAGACCATTTTGAGTATTTACTATATTCTAAATACAAGCAAATATAGTATGTTGGTTAATGTAATAATGATTAATATAAGTATGGAACGCTTATGTGAAACATGGTTAATGTAATAATGTTTTCCATTTGTTTCATTTTATCAGTTCTATTTACTATTTATGGGTCAAATCAACTATTTATTCGTTTATTTTATTTAGTATTTTTTAATTATTTTTAAAATCGATAGTTTGTATTTAATAATACTTTTAATGTAGTTTCTAAATATATAAATTTTGTACTAATACCAAACTTAATATTCAGTCAAACCTTGTTAAAGGAACACATAAAATGATAAAATGGAACGAAGGACTATAATGATTGATTTGTGATCTACAAACTCACCTCCGACTCGGGCTTTACCCGGATTTGGGGTCTGTTTTCTTCACCAACTTCCTTCTCTCGGATCAGGTTCAGCCCCAGTACCCTATGCCCCTATTCCTCGTATCGGGAACTTCGCGTCAAAATTCTTACTTGTATCTTTGTTTGTATATTCGATTTGATTGATTTAATTCAATGTTGTTCGAACCCCTCTTGACGATCATCAAGTAAAATGCTCTTCGTGTTTATGATAATTTTGCTAATCCACTCACTTCCTGAAGTCCTTAATAACTGAAATATTAACGAGCTTTGTTATTATTATTATTATTATTATTATTATTATTATTATTATTATTATTATTATTATTATTATTATTATTTTATGGATCTTAGTCAGATTGGAATTCATTGTGAACAATTGATTTGTGCTTGTAGTTTTACTGGTATCCATTTCTTATTGGATTGTGACTTTCTTTGGTTAATCTAACTAGTGATGAGTGTATATATATATGTCAGTTGAATAGAAGCAGCTATTTTTATGGGTTTCTAAATGCTGCTTTGGATAACATGCTGTTTATGTTGCATAATGGGGTAGCTGAATGAGGTCAGACATGCTGTTTAGGTTGTGTAATGGGCTAGCAGAGTGAGGTTAGACAAGCTGTTTATTTTGCGTAATTGGCTAGCAGAATGAGGTTAGATGCAGATATAGATGCTAAGGGATCAAGCTACTATAGAATTGCTTGTTCTCAATTGAGAGCAATAAGATGCTTATGGCATCATAATATATAAACAATAAAGACGTGGACATATAAGTAAGATCTTTGGTTCAGGCATGGTTTGTTAGTATCAACTCCAGGGTATGATCTTGTGAAAAGTGAATATTTTTTATTTGCAATATTTTTCTTTTGAGTTATGTGGGAACTTATGGACAATGAACCCTATCTAAGTTCTTGATTTCCTCAGCTTATTACTTGTTGAAAAAACAGGTTTTGAGATTCTTGAAGAGGAGGTTTTTTCCTCCCCTTAAAATTCTTCTTGTTTTAGTGTTTGCCTCAATGTCTTTTTTTTTTTTTTTTTTTTATTAAAGTAAATAAGACTTAAGCTAGTTAAGTAAATTCTAGAGTAGAGATTGAATGAAATTCGGCTCATTGAGAATGCTACGTAAAACCGCACTAATCAAACTAGATACACAAATTAAATTAGTATTGGTTTGATGGGGGTCCATGTTGCAAACGGAGTAAGGCGTCAGATCCTCACAATGGGTTGAAATTTTGGAATATTCATCTAGAACTTATGCCTTTTCCTTTTCTTTTCAAGTCATGTTTTTGTCTTTGGTCTTCAAAAAAGTATAGCTTGGTGTTTAATGTTTTGCCTAAGATTTTGTGTGGTTCTTAATTTTGCTCGTGCCCATCTCTAATTTTAGGAAATTGTTGGTGTCTTGGATTTAGGGGCAACGTGATTTATGGTTTTGTAGAATACTAATACTATGTTTTGCTGGTGCTGTTTTATAACATAAGTTGCACAACTTCCTTATACTAGTTCTGTTTGTTGTTTGAACAGACAAAGTAGATTACTATGGAATTAGCAGATAAAGCTGTTGGGCTGCTTTTAACTGTAACCAGCTTGTGCATTTTCACATATTATACCTTCTGGGTCATTATCCTGGTCAGTTGCCGGTTTGATTGCATAAATTTTGGCACATGCTTTTGTAACCTTTTAACAAAATGAGTTGCGTGTTTTCAGCCTTTTGTCGACGGTGACCATTTTGTCCACAAGTACTTTCTCCCGCAAGAATATGCCATTCTCATTCCTGTATTTGCTGGTGTAGCACTTGTGAGCTTCCTGAGTATGTTTATTGGATATGTGATGCTCAAATCCAAGAAGAAGAAGAAGGCATGATACAATTTCAGCCTGACACACTCTTATGGCTTTTACCGTAGTTGAAATATGCGTTTCCATTTCTAATCAATTTTGCTAAAACGTGTACATTTTGTAGCTCTCTACGTGCTTTTATTGTGAATTGTGATCAGTTTTGGTATATAAACCCCATCTATTCTAAACAAAACTTTCTGTTTGGTGAATACAGTGGATACTCTCTAACCATAAAGGAAGGTTTGAGGTAGAGTATTATTGACAAGGATCATGCTGCACGGACCAAAACTTTTCATCAAATTACTATTTGAAGTGGTAATAATAGTATATTTTTGTAACACAATTTGGGGTCAGCCAATTTATGGCAATCAATGAATAAAAAGAGTTTTATCACCATCTCAAATGGTGAAGAATTTTGGTCTTTGTAGTTTTATCCTATAGACAAGAAGAGTTCATACTTTAAACAAGTTCATTTAGTACAAGAGTAACAAATAGTAGTCTCTATACAAGGAATCATAAAAAATTGATCTCTGGATTTTATTTTTTATTTTAAATAAAACGTTGTATCATTGTATGGAGATAACCATGACTATTCTTTAAACCTTCGATGACAGTGACCATTTGACTATTTTCTAAACTTCTGACGAGAGTGATCATGGTCGCTCATTGTCTCAAAGTTGATGAGGATGACTGCCTTTCCCTAAGAGTCTGAGAGGATAATTGTTGTTAAACAACCATAGCTATCTTGTGGTACTAGGCGAAGATCAGTCGTTATATCATAAATGCATCGCAGTCAAAAACAGCGCCGTTTCTTTAAAGAAACGGTATGCCGTTATAGTTAACGGAGTCCGCTTGTTTGGTGTATTAAACACCAACTGACACTACAGTATATCTAAATCGACACTGCAGTTATATCAAAATGATACTGTAGTTATAGTGAAATGAAACTGCAGTGTATATAAAATGAAACCGAATAACATTTCACATATTTTAGTGTATATTGTACAATGAAACTGTAATTATATCAAAATGATCATGTAGTTGTGTTTTAATGAAACTATAGTGTATATAAAATACCGGGACTATGTGGTCTAATGGTACTCGGGTTGGACTTCCATTTGGAAGATTATGAGTTTGAGCCTCAGTAGAGGCGTTATTGGTTCTTTGTATTTCAGCAGGTTGAGAAAGTATATGAACAGATACTACAATGTAATAGGGCCAGTAACTTTCAAAAAAAAAAATATTTGAATCTATAGTAGTTGTGTTTGAACTGACACTGCAGTGTATACAAAATGACACTCAAGAACAGAGTTACTTTTTACAAAAGGGTGCGAAACGGCGGAAAACAAACACTGTTTATTTTCATTTAAAAAAAACGCGCGGTGCATGATATAATTTGCCAGCGAAGATTGCCTCCTCTTAAATGTAGACTAAGTCATTATCAGTTTATGACATTCAAATATTATAATTCAAGTGCACTAATTCATTCAATTTAAAATGTTTATTTGACATTTTTTTAACAAATAAAAGTGCTATAAAGAGTTGGGCAAACTGAAAATAACCTAATATTTTGGTGAAAATTATTCAAAAGTAATCGGACCACCCAAATAGGAGAAATAGAAGATTAGGCTACCAACATGGTTTTATACTTTTATCCTACCAAAAAAAAACCAACATGGTTTTATAAATCTAAATTCTTACTTTAATGATAAAATATGAAATTTTGATTGCGTCCAGAAATATACAGTCAAGTGTGAATCTTAACATTAAACAATTTCAATTTACATATTCACGAGATTCAAAATATAATTTGGCCAAACTGAAAACTTAAACAAAAAAATTCTGAAATTTTGACTAATCAAATAAAACAAACCTTGAACTTTTGTCCTGATCTCTGTGTTCTTTTTCTGATGAGTGATGATCAAGTCCACGAGGTTTTTCAACTGATGAAGATGCTAAGAAAGAAAGAATCAGTTTTTTTTTTTACACGTGCAGACTTGAGAGCTTATCACAATTGGGTCTTTCCAGAAGAGGGAGAGAGTCAAAGTCAACTAACTGAGCCTTAAGCCGTCCAGTCAAACCAACATGTAGAAGCCTTCCTTTGACGAATTACCTAAAGAATTAATGCGAAGTTATAAGGTGGGTGATATGTTGAAAATTTGCTTGGTCTCTAGTTTGAATTCTTCTCCTATTTAGCTCAACATTTCTGAAAAAGTATACATATTACCCAGCACAAACACCCTCCTATCTTTCTTCTGGTACTATAAATTCAAGAAAATTCTTTCTGGTTTTCTAGAATCTCCTAACATCTCTGAATCTTCAATCTTGCTCTTGGGTTTTGCTCATACGGTTTTGTAGTGTTCCCAAAAGGGAAAATTTCTTTCTGGGTTTGTTTGACATTTGAAAAGCTCAAAACTTTTAAGCTTTTGGTGATTCAATTTGGACTGAGAAATGGGGGATAATTCAGAGCTTGGTGGGCAGCTTAATGAATCGGTTGTGCTAACAGGAAGAATCATGATGGGGGCAGGGATCGGTTTGTTCTTGGTGGTGGCCGCTATATTCTCCGTCCATCTTTACACCAGATGGTTCTGGCGCCGCCGCCCGGACCTCACTAGCGCCGCCGCAGCACGGCGGGACGACAGTCAAGAAGTGGCTATAAGAATAGCCCTACGCAAGGGTCTGGAGCCCTCAGTACTGAAGACCATACCAGAAGTTGAGTTCAGTTCCAAAGATTTTAAAGAAGGGCTAGAATGTGTGGTTTGTCTCTGTGAAGTCTGTGAGGGTGAAAAGACTAGATTTTTACCCAAATGCAACCATGGGTTTCATGTGGAGTGTATTGACACGTGGTTTCAATCACATTCCACCTGCCCTTTATGCAGAAACCCAATCTCAAACCCTAATTCATCACAGCCAGCATTGAACCCTATCCCTGGAGTAGCAGCAGCTTCTGCTGAGGCTCCTAATTTCCCCACCAATGTGTTGTATTGGGGGGACGAGACTCGGGTTAGCACCCTCGGTCCTTGTTTGGATGAGCCTCGTCGGGACCCTATTTCTCCCGATCCCGAGCTGCCTTGTTCATCTTCAGCTGCAGCAAAAGTAGGAGCAGGAGGTGCTTCAGTTAGTACTAGGATGTTGGTGATCGATATTCCTAGGCAGATTGTGGACGATGATGATCAAGAATCGCCTATGATCGCGGGATTGAGGTCTCTGAGGAGGCTATTGAGCCGGGGAAAGAGGGTTGATAATCCTCGTCCTCGTGGTCCTAGTGTCAATATAGATGTAGAACAAGGCGGGAGAAGTTGAAAGCTAATATTGGTTGAAAGCTATGGAATGTGAACATAATTTATTGGATTCAATATACTGCCCTGAAATATATAGAGGATTGGCGTTTTGGGACATATGACATATTGTCATTCTGGTAGACGAATGAAGTCTCCAGTTTTTATGTTCGATGATTCTATGTTCTTTGATTCTTGATGCAGGTCAAAACTCGGTGCTTTGATCTCTGCATCCTATATAGATGAATTGTAGTGGTATTCTTTCTCGAGAGTCCTAAGCTCTCCCCGGTGTACAAACCTCAAACTGTTACATTAATCATGTGTTTTATCTCCAACATGTGCAATACAACTATACAAGTTTTCTTGTTTTGGTTCATTCTAGAGCAAATGTTTTGTTTTGTCTATATTTTTGAATTCGTTAGGCCTCTTGGTTTAATTTCTTGATTCTTATTCTGCAACCGAGAATGAATATTGGTGAAAGAAACAGATAAATCTTTGGTTATATTCTAATATAACCGAATCACATTTGAGTTTTCTGAGTCAGCAGAACATAATTCTCGTACCTAGTTTCCTATGTAACCAAGTACACCGGTCCATAGGATTGAACATCCTTGGAGCTGTTCATCTTTTGAAGACACATATATGGCACCTCATCCTCCTCTTCATTGATCCCATTGAAGTGGCTCGTGATGGGGCCCGATAAGGGCTTCCAACGCCTTGCATCATCCCCGCCCCCTCGCACCAGACCAGAAACATAATCACCCCTCGGCTTGGTATGTGAGTTCTTCGCTGCTTCTTTGCTGTTCTTGTTCCTTTTATCCCTCTTTAACCATGAAAACAACGATCTTTTCCACGATGGGTTTCTCGATTTCCTCTCTGCAGATTCTTCGAGATGTGGCGGTGGTGTTGCACCAAGAATGTCTTGGCCTGCATGCTTTCTTGCTTCTGACAAGAACTGGGTAAGAACATATATATGCCTTGAATTATTATCATCAAATGTAGCATAGCAGATCAACTAATTGAACTAAAAGTCTAAAACATATCGATATATGATCGAAAAAAGAAAAAAAAAAACTGGGATTTTTTCCTGGATCAATAACATACCTGTGCAAAATCTGTATGAGGATCAAACTCATAGCCACCACAGAAATCTTGAGGCTCATATTTTGGGAATATGGGAGACCTATTCATACTTTTCAGCTCAAGAAAATGCAGGAAACTTCACAGGCCTAAACCAGAAAGAACTTCTTCTGCAAAAACAAACAGGGAAATTTAAGTAGCAGAAACTGTGCAATTAACTTCCCTAAAAGGAAAAATGGGGAAAATCAAGAAAAGATTGTGAAATTCATTTTTTGGGCTGCAAAAGGGGGAAAGGCTAGCTGTTATGATTTGTTCATAATGATGGTGTAGTTGAAATTGTAGCAAGTTTTGGGTGGTGAAAAGTGGGGTCTATTTCCAAAGTTTTGCAAAGGGGGAATGGAATGGAAATTGTGTGAAGTTTTGAAGTAGGGCAATAGTGTGACCATCTGGGTTGAAATGGCCAAACATGTATTCTTTCATGCCAACTAACCAATCTCAAAATGGTAATGGGGAAAAAACCCCACTTTGTTTTGCATTTTTTTTGTATGCCTAAATTCTAATTGCCTACCGTTCACTGAACTTGAGGATAGCTGTCTTCTCTTCTACGCCAACCAAGGATGAATTTGACCAAAACCTAAAAGGTAAATCAATAAGGAAAATATTAGGTGTATTACCATTTCAACTCATAATTTTTACTCCACAAAATTTTGATGTAGATATTTGTATTGGGATCCACTTAAAAAAAATACTTTATTAGTACCTGTCAAATCAGAAAGTAAAATTTGAGAATACTTTACTCCATATACAAAATCTTGATATAAATATTTGTATTGAGACCCATTTAAAAAAATACTTATTAGTACCCGCCAAATCAAGAAGTAAAATTTGAGAGTACTTTACTTCACACATAAATTTTTGATGTAGATATTTGTATTGGGACCTACTTAAAAAAATACCTTATTAGTACCCGCCAAATCAGAAAGTAAATTTTAATAGTACCCGTAGTGAAACTCATCTTGTGATGAGTTTTCATGAATTTTTTTTTTTTTTTGAGTAGACTTTATTACATTGTAGTATGTATCACTTATGCTCGATCTCATGACTTTTCACATGAGAAAAGTCATTACATGCCATTTGAGCACAATGTCTTTGATTTTTTATGGATTATTTATTTTGGAAAATACTATACATATTCTCATTTTTTTACATTTAATTTTTACTATCACATACAAAATTTTGATGTAAACATTTGTTTTGAGACTCATATGAAAAAAGTAGTCAATCAGTACATGCTACATAATGAGTATGATCTGAGAGTTTATTTTAGATTAATTAATTAATTAATTAATTAATAAATAGGTTAAATATTCGAGAAAGGAGTTTTCAGTGCCGCATTTTAAGGAACCACTGACAGGCCTTTTGTCAAGTGTTCGTTTTTTTCAAGGGTTAGACCTAAGACCTACAGACCTCAGTCCCCAGATAAAGAGCTTGCTGAAATTGACTTTACTTTTTTTTTTTTTTTAAAGTAAATTGAGTTTTATTTAAACCCAACAAAATTTATAAATAAAAATTTATGTAAGACCGTTCAGATATTTTTATCTATAAAATGAGTTACATCAAAACAAAATTTTAATATTTATATTAAAAAAATATAATACTTATATTAATAAATGTAATACTAATTAAAAATAAAGTGTTTGTTATCTATAAAAAAAAGAATATTGTAATTTATGTCCCTCCATAATATGTCAATTATCAATATCACCCCTGAATTATTAATGGTGTAAATATTGTCCCTCAATTTTCAAAACAATACATATATTGCCCCACCTAATTGTAAATGTTGTCCCATAATTTTCAAAATGGTACATATATTGCCCCTCTTGTACGGTACAGGAGGGGCAATATATGTACTGTTTTGAAAATTGAGGGGCAACATTTACACCACTAATAATTCAGGGGTGACATTGATAATTGATATATTATGAAGGGGCATAAATTACAATTTTCTCTTAAAAAAAGTTAATACGTTTTAGAAAAATATATGGAGTATATTTTAATTTTAAAATATTATATTTTTTAAAAAAATATTACATTTTTTTATTAAATAAATAATCATTTTATTCTTGATTAGTATTACATTTTCATATTAATCCGTTTCACAAATAAGTATCTTTAAAACAATTTCACAAAAGAGTTGCTCAATTTTATAATATCCAAATTGTACGAGTAAATAAAAAGAAAATCTGACTATTTCAAACAAATAGTGTCTCTGACTCTCTGTTACTATAAATATAAAAACAGCAAATTTTTTAATAAATATTTACCATTTTATTTTTAAAAAGATATTATTACCCCTTTTATTTATAAAAGCTCGGCGCCCCTCCCATTGGGTTCAAGAGATTTTTAAGAAGATAGGCTAGGCATGACTTGACAGGGAGCAGTAACAATTGATAATTCTTAAGGTTCTTTCAGTGTCTATTCTCTTGTAATATTAATAAATTTACAAATTGGTAACATAAAAATTTAGTATACGTAATTCAATTTTTATTTGATTAATTCTTTTTATAAGTGACTAATAAAAATAAACAAATTATAAAAGCCATAGCCGTCTACAGCAAGCATGTTCAACATGTAATTGTTAAATAATCTTTTATCATCAAGCATGTTCAACATGTAATTGTTAAATAATCTTTTATGCGCTATAATTTAATGCAGAATCACAATTAACAATGATCGCATATAAATCAAATCAATCAACTAAACAATGTTCATGATCATGAATTTTTAATTAAATAGAGAAGATAGAATTTACTTGTTTCGTTGGAGATGTAATCTCTAAATTGATTGAATCAAGAATATAGTGCTTCACCTCTCTGATCCGTATACCTTAATCATCGGTCCCTAGAGTTTGCCTGGGTATTTATAGATGTGATGAGAAACCCTCTTCAGGAGGAATGGGAACCTCCTTTAAGAATAGAAATCTCTTTAGGAATGTGACTCCTTTTAGGAATAGAAATCCCTTTAGGAATGTGAAACCCATAACCTTTTTCCATTATACATCTTTTACCCTTATAAACTTAAATTTTAACAGCATGAGATCATCAACGTGAGTACCTTATGGAATTACAACTTTTAATATGTAAATTAATGTTATGAAATAATTATTTCTAACATTAATTTTACATTTATCAACTACCAAAGCACCACATGGAGCAATGGGCAATGTGGGAATTACTCGCAAAGTAGGCAGATCCCTTGTGCGCACCGGCATTTGACTCTATTGCTAAGCCATTGCGTCCCTATAATTTACATCCCCTAATACTTTGTTGGACTAGGGTGTGAGAGCTCTTGGAGTTGAGAATTCAACCTCTTGGAAGAAAGAAAAGTATACAAAATCCAAATATTGCCTTTGGGAAGCTCTCTAGTGGATCAAAAGTGAGGTCTCTCCGATGTTGGTCTCAAATTTGATTGTTTAAATTTCTGCTTTAAAGTTACAATTTAGGCTATTCTCAATCATTATCCGTTGAACCCGTGTCCAGCATGCTTGCTGGACACAGGTAACACTGCCGTTAGGCACTGTTATCTCTTTTTTTTTTTTTTTTTTTTTTTAAATTTCAGACCGCTTCGTTATAGAAGTATATGTTCATAATTTTATTACTATATGTTAATAACTGTACGTTCATAACTCCATAACTGTACGTTCATAACTCTATAATTGTACATTCATAACTCCATAACTGTACATTCATAACTCCATAAGTGTACATTCATAACTCCATAATTGTACATTCATAATTTTCGAAGCTCTATGTTCACAATTTTAGAGCTCTATGTTCATAATTTTATCACTATATGTTCATAATTGTAAGTTCATAATGTTAGAGCTCTTTGTTCATAATTCGATCAATAACTGTACATTCATAATTCCATAACTGTAGATTCATAATCTCATAACTGTAGATTCATAACTCCATAACTGTAGATTCATAACTCTATAACTGTACATTCATAACTCCATAACTGTACATTCATAATCTTCGAAGCTCTATATTCACAATTTTAAAGCTCCATGGTCATAATTTTATCACTATATATGTTCATAATTGTAAGTTCATAATGTTAGAGCTCTGTGTTCATAATTTCATAATTGCATAACTGTACATTCATAACGGCATAACTGTACATTCATAATCCAAAAAAAAAAATAAAAAAAAAAATAACGTCGTTAACGGCAAAACGCGCACAAATTTTATTTATTTTTTTAAACTAAATGACGCGTTTTTTTTTTTTTTTTTGAAAAACGACGTCGTTTTGGGCCCGTGTCCACAATTCATTGTGGACACAGGTCCAGGGCATAATTTGCCGGCTATTCTTATGTTGGCTCAATTACTTATTCCTGTCAACTTTTTTATTAACTTTATTGATAGCTGTGAAGTCTGTTTCATTGACAAATTATTGTGTGGACCGTGATCCACGTAACAAAAAGTACATTTTTAATATACTAAATATACATTATTTTTATATTGAATGTACATTATACAATATAATGTACATTCCTTGAATATAATGTACATTATTTTTGTACTGAATGTATATTATTTTTATACTAAATATACATTATTTTACAATAGACAAAATATGATCCACACAAGTTGTATGAACAATGGTCCACACAATAATGATTGCTGTTTCATTGATAGAGATAGGAATCACACAGCTCATTCGCTTCATAGAGATAGGAATCACACGACCCATTCGCTTCATAGAGATAGGGATCACGCAGCCCATTTGCTTTGGCTTCATAGAGATAGGAATCACGCGGCCCATTCGCTTACCAAAGCCAATTGGAGACTAGGCAAAGAAGCATAAAATAGAGAGTTCTACTACATACTCCCTATTTCAACTCCTTTACTTTTACTCCAATTAATGCTTAGTTATCTTCATCATGTGGATTTCAAGAGATGACAACATCAAAATTTGGCGAGGGAGTAAAAGTTGATAGTAGTGTGTTTTCCTAAAATAGAAGAGGTACTATTGGCCAAACAGTTACTTATGAATACTGACACATCACTTGTGGACCCAAAACCACCATGAAAGCAAGAATAATCACATCAGATGATTGCAGGAGAGATCACTTTTCATCTCCCATTGCACCATATACCTATACAAACACCATCTTGGTTATATAAGACCTAGGATATAAGTGCCCACAAGTAATCAGAAGAAAAGGGAAGGAAACACACAGCCCTTCCAGACTTTGTTGTGTTGTGATCCTGAGCATCAAAGCTGAAGCAAAGGCAGAGCCATTACGACGCCAAAAATTGAGAATAATAGCAGCAACAGCCAAGTCGGGAAAGATTGTTTTCTTCGGTTAACCATGTGTTGTGGAAGATCCACTCTATTCAAATCTTCGTTTGTAGGATTACTATGTTCCTCTAGTAAAGGGCTGGAACTTTCCATTTGAGTTACCACAGGTGGAACCTGCTTGGGAACAGGCTGTGAAGCAAGCTGCTGCTGTTCATACTTCTCCACGTATTCTGGAAACAGCTTCCTAAAGGTTGGGCTGTATAAAAAGGAAAAAGTTGTGATTTCAAATGGCTAACTTAAATACTTGTAGTTAACGATGTAGAGTACTGCCAAAATAGCTATACGTAACATTCTCAAAAAGGGTCTTCTAGCAGGGGATTATAAAGCTCAAAGTAATCATCTAATACAAACACAGCATATGTAGCAAGGAATTTGGCTTACTTTTTACAATTGTAAGCAAGAGAAACCTTTGCGAGTTTTTCTTTCTCAGCAATTGTTGTTGTTACACTGCCTGTGGTTGGACTATTATCCATCTACAGGGAACATATTAAAGGAAAACACAGCTAAAGAGAAGTCTGGATGCAAAAGGTAATCTTTGTAGATAATTTCAACTATATATCAAGCAAAAGGTAAACATACCATGAATGAAAGCAGCCCTGTGAGAATGCTGCATGTGCAATAAAGAGAAATCAGCTATAGAGAAGGAACGGCAAACAGAAAAATAAAAACTGCAATGAAAGGAAGATAACTTTTGTTCCATCATTACCTTGAAACAGACCACATTGGATTCCAACTCTCTGGGTGGACTGACAAGTAACATGTTGATGCAATGTGAGTCATATTGAAAACCAATATATAGAGTTAATTTCACCTGGATCCCTCCTTTATGTTTCTAACATTCTTGACTGGACAATGTTTAATTTCAAATATTACACTTGAGGTCCCCTGTTCCAAATTTCCAATTATAGTGATCATTAAAGATTTAAAGGTGCCTCTTCGATAATGGATATTTATTGCCAAGTTACCTAAGTAGGCTTCTCCTGAAATGTATAAATCTGCAACTACATGCTGGCATGCAATCTTTAGCATCTATGTTCATCACATGCAAACTTCTTTAAAGCAAAAACTCATTGTAAAATAAAATGAAAAAGTACTGAAAGGAGTAGAAGGTTAAGAAAAATAAATTTGGACTGTTTAAGAGTACATGATGTTTGAAGGAAAAAGATGCTAGAGCCAAAGTATTCTCTAATTTTGAGGTCAATTCTGTTTTTCATCAATACCAAATACGGATTACTTCCTTTACACCGATTTCTATCTCTCTTTACACAAACACACACATAGGGTGAAATGGTCTTCCATGCATGATAGGGACCTCAAGTGTAAGATCCGAAACTAGAAGGGATCTATGTTAGGTTTAACATAAATTAGGGGTCCAGATGAAGTGTACCTGAAAACAATTTAATTGACAAGTCTTAGTAACTTAATGAAGACTTACAGTCACTCATAGACAGGCATATTTTCCTTTCTGGCATAAATCGGCCATTTGGAGTTGTCATTCTTCAAATGTAAAAAAGTAGTGTAAGTAATAAATCAGCAAGTTTTAGAAGACCCAAAATCTAGCACTAACAAGACTATAACTGATGCAACAATTCAAAAGAATTAAAGTGAGATTTCGAATACTTGATTCCTGGAGGTTTATATGGATATTCTGGAGGAAACTTGATCTTTCCATAATAATATCCACCTGTAAGTAATTCAAGTTTGATGGAAAACACCGAGTGAACAAATATTAGCTGAAGTAATATAAACACAAAATAAAGAGGAAAATTTACTTGTAGGAGGTAAAGAATGTGGATGGAAATAAGATTAACTTGCAGCACAATACTAGAAACAAACCTGCAAAAGGTGTTCCTTCACACCCTTCCAATACATAATCTGTAAGAAGATAACGAATACAAGGGAAACGACAATAAATATTTGATGTGTCACTTTATGGATAAAAAGCCTTGCAAAATTTCTTTTCCAAGGGAGAGAGAGAGAGAGAGAGAGAGAGAGAGAGGACTCCTTCAGGCTAGCCAAGGTTAAACCCAATACCCAATGAACACAAACACAATACTTACGCCACTCAAGGATATCACTTGGAGATGGCCGGGCCACAACGTTTGGAACAGGTTCCTGTAAAATTCATAGGACAAGCAATCACCTTTAGAGTATTATAAGTTTCTAAACATATTGATTAATGACTGGAGGGTCCTGAAGATGGTGGCAGTACACACTTTGATAATAGTTGACATAAAATGGGCATCCAAATCCTTTTGAGTGCATGTACACTTGTACATAGACACATTGCCCTATGCAAAGTGTACAGATAATTCAAAAATTATGTCACTTTAATATAAATGCATGGATCCTTATGGGTTTGACTAACTGGCCACATACTTTTCTTTTTTTGGACCTGGTGGTACACTGGTTCTTTGATGACAAATTTCAAGTCACTCCAGAAGAAGCATTACAAAAATCACAGATCATCAAACTTAACTTCTCCTCTACATGCAAGAAAATCTAGAAATAATAGTTGTATGCCTCACAAATCTGACCTAGGTTAAATTTTTCAGGCAACAGGGGAACATGAAATATATCCAACCATTAAATGTATGTGCCATCAAGAGTACTGGTGGGCTCAAAAGAGTAAGAAGGTGTCTTACTTTACAGAGTGCTCTATATTCCTTTTGCAAGCGCATTATACATGCTTTTTCCGCCATTCCTTAGCTTCAAAGTTTGGTGAACTAAAAGATGATCTTGGGTTTTTCTCTTACTCTCTAGACTACCTGTATACACAAACAGTGAAACAATACTAAATGAACCTCAAATTTTAAACTCATGCAATATTAGAGAAAAGAAAAATAAAATCACTGCAAAGTAGTTAGAAAATATAGTTCCTGACTTCCAAGCAAATATTCCAAACCATCAGAAAAACTCATGAAACAGCAACATATCTATCTATGTTACTATGTTAACAGAAATTTCATTAAATTCACTTTTACAAAATGAATTTGTTATAAGAATGAACAGAAAGAAAAGGTCAATCCACAACAATTATGAAATGAGCAATTCCAATAAAGTGTTTATCTATATTCAAGAAAAATTCAATCCAATATTATTGAATCCCATTTACAAAGTTAAAACATGCATGAAGCAACAAGCATAAAGAACATACTCCAATATCAATCTGGTCATCGATTAAAATCTTTTCTTGCAATTGAACTCCAAAATAAGAATCACACAACCAAGAACAATATTGAAAGTATTTCATTCACAGATTCAGTGAAAGATGAACAGAAAAGAAAATAAGAGAACTTACAGTCACATTATCTCTCTTCAATACAAATTAACACCAAAAAGTGTATGAAAGAGCAATGGTTATTACTTATTACTCAGTATTAGTTATGGGCTTGAAATTTAAGTAAACAATGAGACTTTTCTTATAGCTCAACTAATTACTTGCGTTCAACACCAACCAAACAAGAGAAAACACTCTTAATTTACAATGAAAACTTTAACAATCCATTTTGCAGTGATGGCAGCACTAATTTAAGATTGCATACAGATGCACTCGAGAAACCCTCACTACAAACAGTGTAAGCTATTATAGAGTGATGCAATTTCTCAACATGATAAAATTACGGATATTCATAGTAAAACACGAAACAAACGTCATTCAGACATCGTGAAAACGATCTAAATACTACGATTGAATCCAAATCTCCACGCGATCAAAATTGATTAAGCAAAGAACACGTAGATACATAGATAAACTAGCAGGGAGAGTAAGTGAGAGAGATTACCATGGATCAATCGCGCGAGAAATCTATATTATGAAGCACGGATTGAAACTGCATTGACTGTTGATTGAGATTAAGGTTTTTCCCCAATGATCGGTGTCTAGACGATTGAAACCAATGTGAGCTTTTTCTTCGATTCGGAAGGCTCCAGTATCCAGATCAGTTCTGCAAAGACGATATTAACCCTACTTCATCCCTCTATACCTCTCCTTCATATATATGGAATAATGGAGTGCTTATATATGTATGATTCCCAAAATGACCTTAAGGGTCCGTTTGGAAACTCGAAAAATGACTTATGAGAATTTTTTTTTTGAGTTTTCAATGTTTGGATGCAATAGAAAAATTCAGTCAATGGAAAACATTTTTTGTTGACTGAGAAAAATAAGCCATTTTGGATGAAAATTACTTCCCTCAAAATTTGAGAGAAGTCATTTTCTGCCAAAATGTTTAAACATACAATTTTACTCATTTTTTAAAAAAATAAACTAAACACACCAAGTTTTCCAAAATACAACCAAACACGGGAAAGAAAAATATTTTTTTTAGAAAGTGACTCATTTTCCAGAAAACATTTTCCAAAAGTCATTTTCCTGTTTTCCAAACGGACCCTGAAGTACATATATCTATTATCTATAACCCAGACATTATTGGACGTAGCTAGGGATGGCAATGGGGCGGAGTGGGTGCGGGGATTTACCCTGCCCCCGCATCCGCATTCCCAACTCACTTCTTGCACCTGCAATCACACCTGCGCGGGTAATGAAATTCTTACCCCATACCTGTTTCTGCGGAGATTTTGTGAGTGCGGGTAATACTCAACCGACAACTCTAATTATTAATATTACACTTAAATTTAATAAAAACTTTATACTCACATGAATTTTTTATAAGTTTGAACATAACTCTAACATTTAATAAAAATCAATGAAGTTAATCTTTAATTGGAACTAAAATTGTGTTGGTAGTATAAGTTGTATTAAGTGTTTACTCATTATGTTATTTGTGTTGTCCTTATTCAATTTTCATTAACAAAAAATAAGAAGTTTAATTTATTATGCATTTTTAATTATAAAGTATACATAAACTTATATAATAAATAAATACTAATAACAATATATAAGTGCGAGTGTGGGTGCCGGGCGAGGATACCTCCCCGCACCCACCGCCATACCCACGCGAGTATACAAAATTCTCCTTATATTCATACTTATTATTCAAATTGTGTGAGTATTTCAAAATCCGTAAGAGCGAAGATGCGAAAAATCCATTAAATACGGGTAGAATTGTCATCCTAGGCGTAGCAAACTTTTAATTTATTTTATTTATTTTTTTTCGCAAAATTGGCCGTATCAAAACGTATTAAACACCACTTTATTGTTCGACCGACCTAAAGTGAATGCCAGCGGTTGAGTCCATAATCCATTCCATCTATTTTTCTTAGCGGATAAAATAGCCTTATCCCACATGTAACTAACGTGTGATGTTTGGTTCATGGAATAAATGAGGATTTGAATGTCATTCTACTGAATATATCTCAAAAGTTGTAATTTATGTATCTTCATAATATATTAATTATAAATGTCACTCTTAAATTATTAGTGGTGTAAATGTTGTCCCTTAATTTTTAAAACAGTACATATATTGACCCTCTCATATCATACGAGAGGGGTAATATATATACTGTTTTGAAAATTTAGGGGCAACATTTACATTACGGGAGGCAATATATATGTACCGTTTTAAAAATCGAAAGATAACATTTACACCACTAATAATTTAAATATGACATTGATAGTTGACATATTATGAAGAGATATAAATTACAATTTTCCTATCTATTATATTGTTTGGTTCGATGTTTATGGCAATGAATAAAATTATACATAATGAGACACTCCTTTTGCAATACGAATAGTAATTTTTTATGTCTCATTTGGTATTAGTTATTCCTAACTCATTATGAATATCTACTTTTCAATATTTCAAAAATACTATTATAAACCCTTCATATGAATGCATATATTTTACGGCAAAATATATTGTGCACCAGGACGCACAATTATATATATTATGTTAAGAGTTTATGCGTATTATGTTAAGAGTTTATGTGTATTATCTTATGAGTTTATATGTATTATATTATACAATTATGTACTTACGAATTAAAACATGATATTTTTAGAGTGCACAATGCTGGGTGCACGATATAACAATTGATATTTTACAGCCCCTTTTAAGCTCTTACAAATAATTTGTCACCTTCCCATTATCGCTAAAGTATGATAATATGTTTGTATGTTTGTTTTTTTTTCGTATATATGTATCTATACTAGTTTTTCCCACGCGCTGTGCGCGAAAACTTGTGCCCAATATTTTAACTTGATTAGTAAATTATTTTTAAATAGATAAATTGCATGTAGTTTTTTTTTTTAATTTTTTTTTTATGAAGTTTCATAAATATTCACGTAAAATATATTTTGTTGGTTTTTAGTAATTTTTCACAAGAAATTCACATTATGATGAATATACACATTTGTAATTCCTTGTAATGATATTTAATGATATTTTACAACTATTTTGTACTTGTGTTATTTAGTTAACATGTATTGGCAATTGTTTCCAATCTCATCTAAAAGTATGTTTTTTATTGGTCGTATAAGTTTTGTAAATGAATGTGCAAATGTTGTAAGTTTTAGTTCGTGTAATTTTATTATTTTGTTGTTTGCTGGATTGAACATCAAAGAATAAGTAATAGTAGTTCTTTTGTTTGAGAATATCATTTTTGTTATATGTAAAATAATTTATTTTATGACGTTAGCACATTGATGTAAACGCAATTGTAAATGGATAAAATTTGTTTAAATATCTTTTTGTTCTAGTTTGAGTTATCTCCCTTATAATTCATATTGTTGTATAGAAATCCAATATATATATATATATATATATATATATATATATATATATATATATGAGAGGTGATTATGTACATCATTAGGAATTACAATTTTAAAAAGAGAAGAAGCATGTAAAATAATAAATTTTAACAAGGAGTTAGTGTGTTAATTTGTTGCGAAAAACTTTTAATTTAGGGGGTGTAAATTTATTCAAACAATATAGCTCAAGACAGAGTAAAAAAGTTTTTTAGGAAATGAATTGAACTCTCATTTTTATGAGTATTATTTATTGTGAAATAAAATCTCTCTTCATCATATCAATAAAAATTAAAGTAAAATACTAATCATTTTTTTTTTTTTTTGGTAAGAGAACTAAACTGAATAAGAATTTCAAGACATGGATCAAGTTCCCTTTTTTACATCTTTTTTTTTTATCCTTTATGCGCGATGCGACCATCATAACAAAAGACCGAATAGTGAGGGGAAAATCATCTAGCTTAAAATAATGTGGTTCCTAAACATCCAAAAGCACAATAAAAGCACTGGATAGTGAGGGGAAAATCATCTAGCTTTGCTCAGCACAGTTCTGCACTAAACAACGAAGCATGAACTGTGAATAACTCAGTCCCTTAGATGTTCATAATGAGTTGTGATCATCCTCGCAAATCATTACAGGTCTGTAGAGATCATCAACATTCAACACATCCACCATTGACACAAGAATAAATCAAACAAATCAAGAGAAAGTAATGTAGATGCACCAGTGTAGTCCAACAACTTAGAGAAACAATGAAGCACTGGAAGTAGAAAGAACATCACACCCATTTTGACTCTCTTATAAAAATTATTGCAAATCCACTCTCCATTGTAGTGAGTTTGTTTAGTTATACCAAAATACCAATAAGAAAATAAGTCCTCATCACACTGCTCATGTTACTGTATGCTACATATCATTAAAAATAATTCAGGAGTAGAAGTGATAGACAAAAACTTTCTATAACAACTCAAATTCTCAAACAATTAAGCGTGTGAAGATATCAAGTGTGATGGAGGGATGTGATCCTAGACTTACGGTTTATCTTTGTCAAACAACCCATATCCGTAGTTGCGAGTCTACTTCATATCATTATCTCATATATAGAGAAAAGAACAACATCAACTACATATAACAATTACTACATATAAAATTTGACCAATGAACCTCAACTACTCTCTTGTATTATACTCTGAATTTTCACAGTGATCATTATATGTTGCTGTGATATACACCACAATATGATGATCAACATGATTTGCTTTTGGTTGTTGATGAGCTTCATCACCAGACGAAACAGCGGAGGGCAAGCCCGGATTTTGAGTTGTAGCATGTAAATAATTAGATGAGGGGTTAAAAAATTGAATAATAGATATCACTAATGTGGCCTTGTTTAGTGGCAGCAATGGAACAACACTGGAACAGGGAAAAGAAGAAAAGAAGAAAAAACGGTGGAGTGAGACAGAAGAAACCATCCAAGTTGGTCAGGTCCGCAACTTATCATGAGATAAGATTTTCAGTTTCCCACATAAGTTCCCAAAAGTGTACTATCAAGATAGAAATGCATTTTCAGTTTCACAAAAAAACTTACACTTCTACCATCACCTATAAAGCCAACCTTGATTCACTATGTTTTTAAATGAACATCATATGCATTACAAACCGTGACACTGAAACCTTAACCACCAGAATTGAATTCTCTACCTAAACATTTTATCTTTTTATTATTCCTACTCTGGATCAAACAAAAATGAAAATATCACCCGATAAAGCAACTTTCAAGACATCCACACTGTCATAAAGAGTTAAATATACAAACTCTAAGCATCACTATCCATTCAACAATAAGAATAAACAGGGAAAGTGAGAACCTGAAGGTGGTGGAGAAGAGATAACAGAGGTTGGAATTACAAACTAAAGTTTTAGAGAAAGGAACCAATAAAAGCCTGGAATTATTGGATGGTGCCTTCAGTGTACAATGGAGCAGTTTAAGTAGCTACATACATCCTAAAATCAAGCAATGTTCCAAAACTAAATAAAGTAATAAGAAATTCATAACTAATTTGACTGGCAAATTTTTGCAATTAGGTATTTGAGCATTCAAGGACTTCCATCAAATTGTATGAAATTAACAACAAATATTAATTAATTTACCTTAGATTAAACATTGAGGCGCAATTGATATTCATACCCATTGAATGCCGCTGCCGTTGATTGTAGTTGTTCTTACCGGTGATGAGAATGTAATAAAGAGG